TATGGTGGGACGTGGGTGCGGACGTGGTAGATGTGGCTTCGGGGTGATGTGAAGCGAAGCGACCTCTCTCCGTCGTCGCGTCGTCGTCGGTTTCGTTCGCGCATCCCCTCCCTTCTCCACCTTGTTCCGTGTCTTCCCGTTCTCGTTCGCGCTGTCGTCCTCGTCCTCATTTCCGTGCTATTCCCGTGGGCGGCACACTGATGGCCTACCACCAGCCATACACCCCTCTTCCTAATGCGCTAGGTCCCCAGGCCAGCAGCGAAGCGCACGCTTGAGGGGAGCAGAGAGCGACGGGACTACGAATGCATCACCGGTGCGATCGACACTACCTCGGGGATCAGGGCTCGCGCGAACAACTTGAACGCGCAGGCTAGCGGTGGAGGAAACGTTGGCGGGTGATGACGACGACGGAGAGGGCAGCCAGAGAAGGCCATACTGGCATTCCATCGCATTTCTCGTCAGTCTGTCAGTAAGTGGAGTCATCGTCCTCCTCCCCCGAGTCTTCGTCGTGCTGATTGGCCTTGAAGGCTTCCGTTTTGTCATTTCTACAGCGTTTCGTTCAAATGCACTGTAGCAGGCAGCAGGAGCCCCTCACCACCTTCGCCTATGGACGCTGGACGACGGGCTGGACGACACAAATTCCCTGGGTTAGTGTCCCTCATCTCGCGTTCGTACGCCCCAGGTTTGTGTAAGTCGTCCCGTCGTCCACGCCGCCTCACGCATGCGTCTCATATCCACTTCTCTCCTTAGCCGCCCCAACCGACCGTTGGCTTCTATGAGATTGCTGTCGCCGCCAGGGGGACTTTGAAGGCGTTTCTGCGAGTAAATCATGGGGGTCAGCGATGTTGGGGGTTGTGCATGAAAATAGCGGAGCGTTGGAGGGCAGGGATGTGAAGGGTCGCAGGGATGTGGAGGATGAAGGAGTCCTACTGCAAAATGGTGAGTCCTGACATCCTTACGGAGAATGCGCATACTAACCCCGAGCCCCGTCCGGTTCAGCTTGCCTCTGTGACTGCTCCGGTCCCCACCTTCTGTGCCCATCTGCTCCTCCACGTCGTTATTCATTTCTTCGTCATCTCCATCGTCGCGTCGCTCGGGCTGCTTGCGTCAACCCCTTTTGGGTTCGTTCATTTGAGAGCTAGGCAGGGAGTTTGAGCCTGCGAGTGGGCATGAGGAGCGTGGCGGCTGCGCATGTCCTGGGTCACAACATGTCGGTGAACTGTTCCTGTTTTGCAGAGAGCTAGGGTGCTTACCTGGCTACGTGATTCCCAGTTTGGTGAGTCCTCCGCTTCGCTCTCATGCCTCATGACTTCCATTTCAAAGCAGTGTACCTCAGCGCATGCGTTCGATGTCTCAAAGATTGAGTGTGGATGGCAGAGGGCATAGAAGGAGTTGAGTGCGAGACTGGCGCTCGAACCAGCGCCACGTGCGCGATCCAACTCCGCTGTATTCCGTTGGCCGATTTTCAACTTCCAATTCACCACTCTCTCATGCTTACCACGACGGCGACGACGATGATAAGGACATCAACGACTGTTGGGAAGGCCACAGCGCCCCCATTTCACTCCAATCCCCCCCTCTTCTGTATCTCCTTGAGCAAGAGGACTCTGGCGTGTAACGACTAACAGAAAAGGTGCCGGTACACAATGCCACGCGTTCTCAAGTCGAACCAGGCGGCGAACGGGGGTCCAGAACATTGGGTGAAGGAGAGATGGAGTGGAGACGGAGAGATCCTCCCCTGAAGCTGTCAGGTGAGTCTCTACGCAGTTGGGAAGGCCGTCTCATTCTTGTAGCCTGAAGTGAACGCGCGCGACGGCTGCGAGTGCGCGAATGAAAGCGAATACGAGCCCAACCTGATGCCGTCGTCTTCAAGCTCTGCCGTGCGTCGTTGAGTTCCCCACATCGGCATCGCGCCTGGCGCGTTCCATCCACGACTGGCGCGTCCATAGTCCTCACTCTACCGCCGTCTTCAAATTTGCGACCACGTTACGCCCCCCTTGGTGCCCTCACCCACAGTTGTGGTTCACAGAGGAAGCTCAAGGGGGAATCATACGGGCGCATATATTCACGTCAACCGCGATATCGGCGACGCGCAGGTATTGACTAGCGGGCGTATAGTCGCAGGCGGAGGGTAGAACGGGAGGGCTGTAGGGCGCAGAGAACTAGGCTACAACTGGTAGCACTACCGTGGTACGTGGCTATTGAGTCCATGCGCATATATGCACTGACACGCAGTAGATTAGCCTGGCGGTTACTGGATGGGTTGCGATGCCGCTGTCTCGCTGACGCGCGCCCTCCTTCGACCGAGATGACCGCAACCACTCCCTCGCCGGGGGAGCCCCTATCTCCCATTGCTCCCTCTGCTGCCTGCTTCCCCCGCAATTACCAAAACCGCCCCCAACTTGAGGGGCCCCTGTCTCTTTCGGTGTGATGACATGCATGTCCGCGCCCCAATGGCAGCCCTGTCCTCTTCCCCTCACTTCCTCTTCGCCGAGATGGCCGTGACCACCCCCACAATGTGGGGGGCCCCTATCTCCCATCCCTTCCTTCGCCTCTTCGTCGACACGATTCCTGAGGCCATCCCAACCATGTGGGGGCCCCTATGTCATGTGCGTGTCGCTGCATGATGACGTGCACCCTGCCTCTCCTTTGTTGCCATTCGCAAAGCTATCCCCAACTGGTGTGGGCCCCTGTATCACATTACTCCCTTTGCCTCCCTTCGGCGCAATCCCCTGAAGCCATTCCCTCGTTGAGGGAGCCCCTATCTCCCTCTACCTCCCTTCGCAGCAATTCACTCTCCCTGTCTCATCCCTTCGCTGCAATGTCCCTGTTATGTGGGCCGCAGTCTTATCACATGATGGGGTATCAAGAGTAGGTGGTGTTGGTGAATGGCTGAGCTTGTAGATAGTGTGTAGCATAGATTTCCGATGCATATATATGTGCTGATACTTGAATATTCAGTAGTGAGTCCATGTTAGAGCTCGTTTACGAGCTCTAACACTTCTAGCTTGTAGGCAATGCTTAGTCCATAACTTTGCCCACTCACCTAACCTAACCACCGAGACAATCGCTCGTAAACGAGCTCTGAAATAAACGTTCTGAAACCCGAAGCCTTAAAGTCCTAATAATCCCTAATATCCCTAAAGCTACTCAGTGCTTAGTACGTGTCAGTGCAAATTCAATTGTAAGTTCGCGTTAGAGCTCGCATGCGCGAGCTCTAACGCTTGTAGTTCAGACGCATATAATACTTATTGTGTACCTTATACTTGATTCTGGTCTACATTTCAGTAGAAAAAGGGCCTGAATGGGCCAAAAAGTCATAATATTGGTCCGGCCTAACCCAGCATTAGGCCCGGACTCAGTGGATAGGGATGAAAGAGAGTCAGTGAGGGAGAAGGGAGGGCGTCGAATTGGTGTTGGATGCGAATTTGAAGAGGATGGAGGTGGTTGAAGAGGGATAGTCGGGTGTTTGAACGTGGATTGAGGGTGATTTGGAGGTGTTGGAAGGAGTTGCGAGGGTGGATTTTGGCGAGTGAGCGAGTTAACGAAGGGGCAAACGGGGGCAAGAGGCGTTGTTGACGGGCGTAGAGACAGTGGAAAGCAGGCGAGAGAAGGACAGTTGGGGATGCCCTGGGCGTTGACGTTGAAGGGGGAACCTGGCATGAAGGATTGAACGTTGACGCAATGACTTCTCTCGGTACTCAAGGCTGAGTGTCTGCGATCTAGCGAAGCGGGTGAGTAAGAAGAGAGTGGGAAGAAATATGTGGGACACTTACTAGGGAGTTTGCGCAGTAATAACTGGGCCAATGGGTGTCGAATTCCGCCGTCGTTCGCCGTCGTTGTTCCGAGCAAGTTCAGCAAACTGTGCGGCGTTAATGCGGGGAGAGGAGGGGATGAGGGAGAGTGGAGGCGCCGTCGTACAATTCTGAGCGTTCAATGACACCCGCGCCCGTTACTTGGCATGGAACACTGCTAGCATCGTTCAGGGAACTCGCCAGTGCTGTCCGCATTTGCGAGGATGTTCTGGCTGAGGCCTGAGGTTGGATGTGTCTAGAGTTGACGCTGGAGGTGAGTTTTACTTAGGCTGTGGCATTGGAACTTGAGCTCACCTCTGTATCCTTGTGTTCGCAGCGCACGGCGGCGATTTCGAGGAGAATTTCTCGTATATGTGTGTTCGTGTTCGCATCGTGTGCCTTCACGTCCCCGTCCTTCATTTATCGTCTCATCCGCCCATAGTCACGCATGCATCTGAGGTCTTCCCCACCTCCGTGTTTGTTTGTAGAACCTGGTTGGCATCATGCGTTCCCCATCCCTGTCTCCTGTTCACTCGTTTAGCCTCGTGCATCGAGTGGCATATTCCTCGCATGCATGTCCATCTACACCTTGACCTTTCCCCTGCGTGTCTGCCTTCGGCTTCGCACTTACGCCTGCGCGCGTTCGAGATTCGGGCCTGAGTCCGTGTTGGCGTTCCCATCAGCAATTGTGTTGGGGTTGGGGTTGCGCTGCACTGTGCCCGCCCCTCGTCTTGCATCTTGCACGATCCCCGTCTCTGCCGCAGTTGCGTAGGTGCGAGAGGCGGTGAATTGAACTTGAAATTGGGATGGGGGTACGTGGAAGTGGAATGGTGAGGCGGGGTACGGATCTGCGAGCACCAGAGTCGTCCGTTAGACCTTCAGGAGCTTCAGAGCGAAGTGGGGCGTGTACGTACCTCTGGTTATCTGCTCTGACTGAACCCCTTCCTCGTCCTTTCGTTCGCCGGTCTCCTGCCTTGTTCATCCCGCGGGTCTCCTACACACTTGTTGTCCAGTTCTTTCGGCCTCTCTTTCTTCCTCTCGGTCCCTCGTTCTCTCTGTCTGTCATCTGCGTCTCGTCTCGTGCATTTCTATTCTTTTCTTCGGTTCTAACGTTTTACCACGAGTCCCGACGCAATGCGACGGAAGTTGCGATACCCGGGACGGAGACTCGGAGTCATGTTTGACTTGCAGGCCTCGTTATAGATTTTAGAAGACTGTGAGGGCCAGAGAGTGTGGGTGGCTGTTTAAGGGCATGCTGGAGATCGTCGTAGCGGACACCGCCAGTGGTTGGGATGAAAGCTCGGCCCTGGAGGTGAGAGGCGCTCAATAGACACTGCTCATGTGTTCCTCACGGTACGTCCCCCTTGTCAATCTCTCCTCTCCTCGGACGTCGTGCAACTTCACTCCCAGCCGAACCCGCCGTCGCACCTCCGGTGTATGCATTCCCAACAGCGTCTGCGTCTGCGTCTGCGTCTGTGCCAGAGGTCCTGCCGCTGTTGCATGAGGACATGGATGTGGGCAAGCGTGCGTGAGTTCTCCGCTTTCGTGATGTTTTCGCGTATTCATTTCGTTTGGCGAACCGAGGCGTGTTTGCTTGGTGCTTGGTGCTTGGTGCTTGATGCGTGGTGCTTGGCTCCTCAGCTGGCGCGGTTATCTTGGACGGCCTCGCCGCGAGTTCGTGGGACGTCTGGGAGGGTCTCGGTGTAGTTGCGACAGTGGAGGCGACGCCCTGCCTCCTGGCGTGCGCGGCAATGGGGAATAGGGAATCCGACGCTGCATCGCACAGAGCGACGTGCAACACGCCATACGTAATCCGCTGACATTGCGGGTGCCGCAGCTCTGCCTGTGCATCAACTGCTTCCCGACGTCGTCGCCGATTACTCCACGTGTGGCGATCTTGGGATTTGGGCGCCGACACGATGGTGACCCACCTTCTTCAGCCCTGCGCTGCGATACGTCGTCGTCGTCGTCCCCCACCATGCTTCTGTCCTCGATACTCCAGCAGGCAAAGTGTTGAGGCCGTTGTTGGGTCCTGGGTGCGACGCTCTGTGGGATTTGGGACGATGCGTTCGACACTGATGGCCACAGACGGAGAAGATATGGGTGGTGTTGTAGGCATTGTCAGGGCGTCGCACGGAGTGGTTGGACGGGCGTGGTCGCGTCGACAGGGCGCGGGGAAAATGTGAGGGCCAGAGGGGGCTCTGTAGGACGAGATATTGCGGTGAGCTCGTTCTCACTAGTGCGAGATGCGAGATGGGTGGTCACTTCTCATTCGCTGTTTGATCTCCTCATCGCCGACGCCAGTGCCTTGCAGCCTCTCCCTCTTGCCATCTGTCGTCTACCCCCTCTGTACGTCTATACGACCTGCTGGTCTTCGTAGCTCCATTGCTTCTCCGTGGCGCTGGCCTGCTAGTGGAGTCGCAGCATCCAGGTGTTCCCCGTCAGCATCTTCCATTGTCTGGTTTCGTCGTCGCCGTCGTCGTAGGCCACGTTGGCGCTGTTGCGGGCTGTGGAGACGTTGATGGGCTTCTTTCGGGCGATGGTAGACGGCGACGTGGTGCGTAACCCGTTGCTGGCATTGCGTAGCCCCGGTACACTGTTGTTTGGGCTCGCAGTTGCGGTGCAACGTGTTCATGTGCGAGGTAAGTGGACCCTGGGTTGCAGACGTTGCGTCGAGGAGCGTTAGAGGCAGGGGATCCTTGCGTTGTGGACTGGGAGACGAGTGGATGGTGCAAGGCCGACAGTACGAGTTGGAGAGGCGGGAAGTGATCTATGGCTAAGGTAAGCGGGTAGAAGGAGATGTAATAATAGAGTACGCACCCAGTCGAGTTAATATACTCATTCCGATCCGGCTTTTCATTCGTCTCCCCTGGGATCGTAATGGGCGTAAGGCGTAGCATACGTGAGAGAGTTGGACATGTAGCTTGCGAGTTTGTGAGAGAGGGATGATGGTGTCGGTCGTGGAAGAGTTTGTCATGACTTGGCGTGGATTGAGGCACATCGGAGTTGTCATCGTGTACCCTGTCGTCAACGTTGAGTTGGTAGTCGCTGCGGAAGAGCGCCGGCGCCTGTTTCTTGTTCGTTTAGGTAGGCGTGTTGAACTTGGTCGATCTCGGCACTCTTGACCACGAACACATCCTCTCTGTCGCTAGGTTAGCACGCAGTTCTTGTTTCATTGAGTAGTGACTCACAGTCCTATCAATCCCTTGCTTTCTTCTCATATCCCACCTTCCGACTTGCCTTCCCACCTTCCGACTTGCCTTCCCGCCCTCCGCTCCCCTTCTGCTCTCGTGGTTGCTCTTGATGGACATGCTCAGGTCCAGCGCCAGCACCAGCCAGCGCGCTTTCGTCTTCGTCATCGTTATCCTCCAGTTGCCGATGTGTCGATGGATCTGCGGCATATCCCCGACACGCGTGGTACCCAGTTGTTCGCTTGCGATCTGGGGACTTTACGCACGTCCCAAGTCGTAGGATCCTGGTGCGCGCGCAAACGAGCATCTGCTGGGGGAGGGGCGTTTGGTAGCTGTGAAACGGCGGGGTTAGTGGGGGGAGGGGAGCGATAGGTTACCTGTTTACCTACTTTTTCCCCCCTCCCATCCGTATTCCCCATTCCACTCCCCCGTTGCCACTCTGCGCAGCGCGCTCTGGACACGATACTTCGCCAGCGCCAACACCGTCGCCGTCTATTGAGGCACCTAATCTTCGCAGTCGTTGAGGAAGTGCCTCGAAGGCACCACGTCGTTCCAATGCCCCTACGCCGGGAGTTCGCAGGGAGGTGCAGGGAAAGAGGAGCATGTCTCTCGAACGCAAAGCGTAGGTGAGTGAGTGAGTCAGCCCCGATCCCACTAGCGTGATCACGTCTCGCCGCCGTGCCCCCTCGCCCTGCGTGTCCAGCCCGTTCCTTGTCCTGCGTTCCCCACGTCCTTCGGTGATTTTGTATCCCTGTTTTCGTTTCGCTTTCATTGTCGTTTTCGTTTTCGCATTCTGTCAACCCCAGTTCTCTACGCGACGCTGCTGCTAAACTTGCGTCCCTTCTTCAGTTCTTCGGGTCTTTTCTTCCCATTCCCCATTCCCTGTTCATCTCATAACCCGTCGCCGCACACCCATTAATCAAACCGTCCCAGTACCCCGCCCCGCAACTGAGTCTTGCGCGTTTCAGGGTAACCAATAATCGAAAATAGATCACACAAACGAGGTCCGGTCGCAGGAATGGCGGACGTGGATAGGATAAGCGGTGATCCCCTTGCGTTGCGCGGGTTTGTGCATCTTCGGGCTGTCTGAAGGTCGTGGGGTGAGTCTCGTTTGCGTTCTTCTTTGACTAACCGACTTACCGATGTCCTCTCTGTAGCTCCTCTTCACCGTCGTCGTCGTCATAGCACGTATTGGCTAGCATCTAAACCCAGCAACAAGGCACTCCATGGACATCGAGGCACGTCGCCCCAACGCCCAATCCTCCACACAATCGCAATCGCAATCGCAGACGTCGCAATCGCAGACCCTGTCAATAACGCCCTCTGCCATGCAGGGTTGGAGGGGCGCCACGAGCACAGCGCTTTGGCGTCTCGGCGACGTTCGTGCGGCGGGGCGCACCCGTGGTTCGTGGTGCGTTCACTACCTTCCTTGTGTTCGTCTCCTTCCCGCCTGGTTTGCGTTCATTCCACCTCATTCGTGTGTTCCCACTCCGTTCCCTCCGTCGCCCTGACTTCTCGTCCTCGTCGTCCTCGTTCGTTCCCCTCGTTCGCATCCCCCGCCTCGTTCTCGTTCTTTTAGTACACTTCCCCCGCGCTGACTATCCACCATATTCAGATCCAACCTCGCTGCTCAACCCGCACGCACTCGTCGTCCTGCTCATGATCGTACGCCAGCACCGCAAGAGCTGGCGTATGTCTCCGTGTGTGTGTCCGTGTGTGCGGGACACTCGGCGCTGCCGACGTCCCTGTGAAGGGCATACTGCACGCTCGGAGAATCGGTGGGGAGCTCGCAGGGAATTGGGTCGTATTGGGGCAGAATCGGGGTACGTCGTCTCCCTCGTCTGCCCAGCCTAGCGCGTACTCACACCTTTGTTTGATTCGTCAGCGCGGGCGTACTGATGCAGACGCAGGCACTTGTACCGTCGGCCATCTCCGCCTGCGCGCCCGTCTTTCGTCTTTTCGTCATCTGGGCGTAGTGTGGGGGTAGTATGCATAGCGTGGTTGCGGTGGACATGCCAGGGCACCAGCATAGCGCCGTGAACTCGCACCATCCGCGCACCGTGCTTTCCTTTGCATCAGTCGAACCCCAGCGGCACGTCCTTCGTATTCGCAGTAACAACCAAGTACGTGCATACGTACGTTGTACTAGCAAAGTAAGTGTTCATCCAATTAGTCGTTTCGTTCAGCTTATTCAAGCGGAACGCGGCTGACTTACCTGCCTCGTCAGCGCCGTCACCGTCGACGATACACGCAGTGGCAGCGCCCGGTGTTACTTGCTTGCTCCCTGGTACGTATCCCCTTCGCTCCGTTTTGTTTCTTTTCGGTGTGTTCTTGGGTGTGGGTGTATGTGCGGCGTCGTTCGTTTTCTATTCCGTTTTTCGTTGGTTTTTTCATTGTTCGTTTTCGTTTCCATTTGCTGTTTCGTTTTCATTTCCACCTCGACGTCGGTTCGCCTTCGTTTCTTCGTTCCCTCGTTCGCCTTCTATTTCTACTCCAGCGTCTCCCGATGGCGTTCTCACCCTCTTCTCGTTTCTCTTTCCCCGTTCGTACTCCTTCTCGTTTCCCGTTCCTCGTTTCGCGTTTCGCGTTTCGCGTTTCGCGTTTCGCTTCTCGTCCGGCTATCGCATGGCGTACGCGTACCGCACCCCGTCCCGCTGTCTCCGCCTAACACCCATCCCTCATCCCTCGTCCTCCGTCCTCTGTTTCGTCTTGCGCATTCCTTTTCCCTTTCGCATTTCGCACCTCGCACTTCCTCTTCGCATCCCCATTTTCCCTTTCGCATTCGCATTGGCCGTCCCCGTTTCCCCTTCGCATTCCGTCGTTTGTCATTTATCGTTTATCGTCTCGAATCCCAGACGACGCAACTGACTTCCGCCTTCTCCTCTTCAGCTTTGCCGCCTTCCCCTCTTCAGCCCTGCTCCAGCTGACGCGTCAACCGCCAACCGCCAATCGAAAATCGCCCATGCTCAGTCGCAAATCGCCGCTTGCGCACACGCGAGTCGGGTACGAGTACGATGATGGCGTGGAGTCGATGTGGGTGGTAGATGGTGTGTGGGTGTGGGTGGGGGTGTTAACGCGTCGACGGGGGGATGACGATGGTGATGGTGATGGTGAGTCGTCTTCGTATTTGCGTATGTTCGCGTGTTGTTCCCCCCCGCTTCCTTCTCGTTGTCGTTCTTGTTCAATCATCCCATCGTCCTGCCGCGCTTCGCCTTGCGTCGTGGCAGTTCGCACCTCCTGTTTCGTCTCGTTTCGATCAACTCGCGCCGTTCGCTAACCTCCTCACAGCCACAGGACCTTTGCATCTGCGTACCACCACTACCACCGCAAGAAAGTCGTCCGGAAATCGACAGTCGAGGCCAACTGTCTTGCGAGAAAAGTGTTTTGAGGATACTTTTGTGCGCGAAATGAGGCGTTGGGCGTCGTTTGGCGCGAAGACGATTTATGCGTCTTGTTTCCTGTTTTCCTCGTTCGTTTGCAGCTTTCGCGGTGGAGGGAATGTGGAGTGTGGATGGTGGTTGAACGGACGGATGGCAGTAGGAGGGGAGTGCGTAGTCGGAGCGGCGTCGATTGTGTATGCGCGTCGATGGGGTAGGGAGACTGGGGCAGGGAGAGGCTGCGAGGGAGGAAGGGAGGGAGTCACAGTTGAGAGTGATGGCTGGGGATCGAGCTCGAGATTAGGTTTGGCAGTACAAGAGTTGGATGGCTTACGTACGGTTGGTTTCCCCTTCATCCGTGTTGTCTAACCCATGCTGACTATAGTAGGGACTTGTATGCGGTGAATAGCGTATGGGCGTAACGGCGTGGATGGATGGATTCGACGCGACGTCGGATATTCCAGATTAAAGGGATGGCGGGATGGCAGGGCCGTGTTGAGGGATGGGTGCGGGATAGGGCTGCGTCTAAGTGGGAATGGGAGGGAAGGGCACGGGTGTTTGTAGAGTAGAGTGTGCGCTGGGTTTGAGTGTGGACGCGCAAAAATGTTAGCGAGAGTGAGTAGGCAGCGAGAATGCGAGTTGAGTGGGATGGGACGTGTGCGTGAGGGCTGCTTGCAGCAAGAAAGCGGCTGGACAAGCGCTACGAGTGCACTTGACTGTCCTTGTCAAAGTAGTGCAACGCATCGCTAACGCCTTACTCCTTCGCTACATCTAGCTTGTCGATACCGTCGTCGATGGCCGGCGTCGTTCGGAGCGGGCGCAGAGAAAGAGGAAGAGTTGGGAGCGCAGGCAGCGCTGGCGTGGGGGCGAACAGGTTAGTATGGTCCAATGTTTCACGATGGTGTTTTACTTACCTGAAGCCGTTGCCTGTATCTTCTTGCCTCCGAATATGTCCTGCGATTCAAACGTTCAAGTTCGCAAGTCGACACAGTGTTTGGCAACGACGCAGGGGGCGCTAGAATTGACGTTGGTAGGTAAGAGAGAATGAAGATGATCAGAAGCTGTAATACTTACTTAGTTGCTTCCGAACGATGCCAGTTCGTGCCCCTGCGCGTGAGGTTGACGATCATCGAGGACGATCGGCTGCCCCGCATTATTGGCGCTCGAACAAAGGCCACGTGCGCGACAAAAGTCCGCTCCGTTCCGTGCGCCGACTTCGGACTTCACTCAAGCGCGCACGACGACGACGACGGGAATGACAAGGACGTCCACGACAATGTTGGAAGGGCATGGTGCGGCCCTTCTCCTTCCAATCCTTCCTTCCTCAGTATCCCTGAAGCAATGGCGCCTAATGACCGACGGGCAACCTGCCTACACGCCATTCTGCTTGCTCCGAAGACAAACAGTTATCAAGGCGGCGAAAAGGCTTAGAATGCGCGGGGTAGGGAGAGGGGACGCCGTGGATGTGGTGAAAACCCTGCCCAGCTGCCAGGTAAGTCTCCAATCTCCTGCGGCTGGTTCTTTTTGGTTGACGTTGCCATTATGGACTGCCCACAACAGCTGCAGGATTGCGAACAACACCGAAAATGGAGCCCCATATGCACGCTCCATGGGTTACAATCTCAAGGTATGTGCGCTGGGGGGCGCTGCTTCTACGCTGCTGTATGATACTAACCGATATTCACGCATACAGCACCCTCGGCCCACTGGCACGTTCAAGTAGCCACCCCAATGTGCTTCGTACAACCAATTTCTCCATTGCGGCATCGTCGACAATGGTAACTCAGCCAGAGCGGAATGATACATGGGCACTGAAGGCGACAACAGTGCCATGGGTGAGAGGAAAAGGGCTGTCTGCAACATGCAAAGGTCGTCGGAGGCAGTGGGCGGAGTGTACAACGGCACAATGGGTGGCACAGGTACGTGGTATGCCCTGTTGATGCATATATGCGCCCATAGGGGGTTCCAGTCGTCGACACTCGATACCCTCGGACGCAAAGAGCCCGCAAGACTCATTTGGTGCCCACCACCCGCGTTGCGCAGTTGCTGACGCTCTCAAGGCCGGGTTCTAAGCGATCTCGATATCTCTCAGAGGTCCAAGTCGTTAGCGCAGATGGCAACGAGCGCTGTTGCCGTTAAACGAAGTCGTGGTCGCCGCTTTTTTCAGAACGGAGGATGCTGTTTTTAAGGAGAGCGAATGGGGGCGTCAACGGGAACCGTCAAAAGAGGGATGGGAAAAATGGGAATAGATGGGTCATGGCTCCACGTCAAGCAGGAGCGGAGGGTGTGGACGATGGGCATAAAGGGCACGAACGGGAACCGTTCGTGCATCATGTGTTAACAGTGGATAGGGAAGTCACGAACGGTTCCCGTTCGCGAGAACGAGCATGTGTGGACGGGCGTCGATGGACGAGACATGTGGATAGGGAACAATCGACAGGGAGACGGGTGGCATCGAAGGTACGTCACCAATGGATCCCATCGGCAAAGCTATTGACAGGCATGGGATCTTCGCCGATGGGTCCCGTCGGCGAAGCTATTGACAGCCATGAGTTCGTCACAGATGGATCCCGTCCGCGAAGCTACATCTGTCAGTGTCAAATGCGCGCAACCAAAGAGAGGCGGCGATGAGTTGATGGCGCAGATGATTGAGGATTAGACGGGATGGGAGGACGAACGGGCGTACGGATTACTACACGCAAATCTTGCCGGACGGTTCCCATTCCCTTGCGCGCCAGGGATATCTACGGACGATCAAAATTGCGATGAATGGTTCCCGTTCGTGCGGAATGACTAAGCAATGGCTGACGGATGGTTCCCGTCGGTGAGGGATATCTATGGATGACAGAAATCCTGTTGTCTGCGAGCAATCTCGAGGGGCTGAGAATGTTCGCCGATGGATCCCATCGGCGAAGTTATGAACAGGCAGGCATACGTGCGCCGATGGATCCCATTAGCGAGCGATCTCGAGGGGTTAAGAATGTTCGCCGATGGGATCCATCGGCGAAAATATAGACAGGTAGTCAACTGTTCGCCGATGGATCCCATCTGCGAGTGCGCCGAAGGGCTGCAAAATAGTCACGGACAGTTCTATAGCGTAATATATGGGATCCTGGACAGTTTTAGAGTTTGGATTGCTGTTGCGACACTTCATGTCGAAACGGTACCCCGAGAAATAGTAAGGATTTCCGCGTTTTCCAGTCTGCCCGCTCACTATCAAAGCCCAGCCAATGCAAGCATTGGCTGAGGCTTTGATAGATAGGTATATAAATTTTCTCACCGTAGCCACACTGTGGCTACGAGTTTCTAAAACCGTCCCTGCCATTGGGTCGAGCCAGCGACGACGGACCCGGTCGCCGGGCGGCCGAGATTGAAACTCCGTCGCGGCCCACTCATTACTAAGTAAAATATCGTAGCCACACTGTGGCTACGAATTGCTAATTAAGGTTTCAAATGTATATTCAATTTTTCTACCGCTGAGCGTAGCCACAGTGTGGCTACGAGGTGCTAATATAATATTTCTAAGGTATATAAAATTTTCCCACCGTAGCCACAGTGTGGCTACGGATTTCTGACACCGTGTTACGGTTATCCCCACCATCTATCTTAGCCCGGCCAGTGCTAGCACTGGCCGGGCATAAGATAGATAGGAAGTGGCCCAAGCGGACACAACAGGGCTTCCCATATAGCCTTGGGGTATACCTAGAGATGGTAGGTTGTTGTGTCCGCTTGGGCCCACATCCTGCGACTTGGGCCCTGTTCCTCCTCGTACCGAAACAGTATTTGGGCTGTAGCATGAGGAGGAGGGCAGATATCTCCGTAGGAATTTGATCAGTATACTCTCCTAACATGCCCGGACATATTTCGTCACCTAACCCTGGGTCAGGGAGCGACGGTTGCTTTGCTACGCTCAGCGACATTCTCGACGAAGAAGGGGGTGTGGAGGGACGGCGGGACAAGAAAAGGTGGACGCGACAAGGTGATTCTCCATCAGAACACCCTAACGGAGATGTGTGAAGTTGTTGCGTCCACTTTGGAGGAGGTCGGCGGAATAAGCTGCCTATTCCGTCGGATAATATAGATAGGACAAGGGGTGCTTTCCCCAGAATATACATCGAAGGTAAGGCGATGCCCGGTCAATTACGCTGCAAATATACATCACATCCCTGAGTCTCTCGTTCTCACCGCGATCTATCGATTTCCCAACTGACTTGAAGCAAAGCCATCCGCATCCGCCTCAGATATCGTAAGGGCACACGGGAATACGAAGAGCGTCAATACATCAAAGAAACCTTCGCTCTCAAAGTGAACGATGCACCACGGGACACCGTTAGTTGGTCTTGGGGGGATTTGGACTGGTGCTTACAATCTCACATGTGCGTCTTTTATCATGGGGAGTGGTGCTCGCGAATGTGGTCCTCTGTATCTCTCTGCGCCCCAATCTGACACACAGCGGCTGTTGCTTTCACAGAGGACTCCGCACCGGCAGCAGAATTTCGCTTGAGACATGTTCAGATTCAGAGGTCTTGGCCGCAGTGTCCTTCGAGGATATCCACAAACTCGCCAACGATCTGCTGCGAGACGCGCCGTGGATGGCCAGCCCATTAACGGTAGATTTCCAGGAGCGACACGTCCTCGCAACGATCACTTTATCTTTCTCAGTCGAGCTTCAGGCGCCTCAGACTCCGACTTCCTTCCTCCCGTCAATGCCCGTTAACCTCGACGTGAGTACTAGTTTACGTTGATGAACCGATCTACTATCTGGATTTCAGAAAACGTTATCCTCGGAACCACCGACCGGGGTACATCGCATGGGATACGGTGGGGCGTATGGGGGATATGGGGGAGGATATGCAGGCTCTTCTTATGACGGAAGGCCTTCTGAGTATCCCGCCGGAATTGTTCCTTACGCATCGAACTCTCCTTACGACTTCGACTCGACACCTGCGAAAGGGACCCCCTACGACTTTTGCAATGCAGCACCTGTGGATACCGGGAAGATTCTCTATAGCGTCGTAGGGACCAAGCGGCCGAAGCCGCGATGATAGGTCAGCTGCATGTGCGAGCACGGTGTACGATAGACTTATTATAGGTACGTCAGTCTCATAACCATGTTCTCTCTCCATCCACGTCATACTGACACTTTGACAGTACCAGCGCATCAAGATATCTTCGTCGTTCAAATCCGTCGCAAGACCCACCCGCACGCGCGTAGCGGCCTCGATGGGGACCAACTGTTGTCCGCCTGGTCTCTCTGCCTTTCCAACTAGCGAAAGCCCCATGCACCTTCGTTCGTCGAACAAACACCACCCGTCGCGTGGTTCAAAGGGAGGAACTCACACGACGAGTGTCCCACCAATCTTGCATCGCAAATACAGACGACCATAGATACTGTAGCCGGCACCGTGCCTGCCAACTACAACGCTACACCGCCACCACTCAATATCCGACGTGCTGCCCAACGGAGTCAACTTGCATGTACGGGAGCCGCCGTCCGTATCGACAACGAATGTCGACGGTAGTGCGCTATAGCAAGTGACGCACGGGCATGCCTGATCAACGCGCGACGTGCTTCGTGCGCGCTGAGCTACGTGTGGTTGAAGGAGGGCGATCTGGCGCGACTTCCAGGTGCATAGACATCTCCTGTGCCTGCTCCTCGTTTGGCGTTATACCTAGACAGACTATGCGACAATACCTGGCTAAACGTTCAACCCATACCACCACCACCACCACCACCACCATCGCGAGAGATGGGTGCGTATCTTCACGCGCAACGCCCAGACTCACGTTACTCCGCCAGACGATATCGATTAAACTACCTACGCGTCTGCGAGACAGCCGTTATTGCCTCCTACATCTCGGTCGACAAGTCCCCACGTCTAATACCTCGCATCAATGTACGTGCCTCCAATCCCTCATCTTTGAGTTCCGACTAACTTGCTATGTCTTATTCTCTAGCTGCACCCTCGTCGGGTCATCACCCTCGTACCCCAGGACCTCGCCACGCGCTTACACATGGAAGACGTAGGGGTGATCGTCTTTCCGGTAAGGGTCTTGATGAAGATCTGCATGCTGCGACAGCCGAGTGTCAGTAAACCGAATACGAGTACGCCGGGATTGGCGGAAAACAAAGTGGCTCGCCTTGAGTAATGAGAACAGGCCTGTCGATGATGCTTCCGTGTATGCATTCCTTGTTTTCTTTTCCGCTTACTATCAACCCGTTCGTTGTGTAGGGACCCATACGAAGTTTCCAAGGCCCAAGACCTCGCCACTCGACTTCGCATTCACCATCACGATTATCCTTTGCCAATATGGTGAGAGGCATCAACGACGGAAAACTCAAGTTTATCGATTTTGCGGAGGCTGTGGATGCAAACGATTGCAATAAAAGCAGTGACCGCGATTATCACTGCGTTCCGGGGTAGATACACCTAGGCAATAAATAGACCGTAGTTTCATACTGATTTGTGACTGTATTCAGATTGGAAAATTCAGAACAGTTGGATTCAAACTACGATACTAGTGTTGATTGACAATGAAACGAGGACTATAATGCGGGGAACCATGAATGACAGAGGTAGCAGTAATGACCGGGAGAGAAGGGAAATATATGCCTAAATGGGTGACAGATGATAGTGGACGAAGGCAGGGCGGTCTACAGGGAAGGAAGGGGTAAGGAATTATACTAAGTGATGAAAAATCGCTCGGAAAGAATATGCAAGGGGCTTCATCCCATGACCATGTCCTGGTCAGCTTCCGTGGCCTGATAGTGCCTTCGAAGCTCGTCCAACGTGGGCCGTCGTGCTGTCGGCGATACCGTACCCGAAGTAGGGGTTGAATCGACCGTTGATGGTATGTTAAGTGTTTCAGAGGAGGGCCCGGTGAGACGTCGACGAGGGGAAGCCTGGGTGGGAGAAGTACTTGAAGGCGAATAAGGATCGGTACTTCCGCTAGCCTGCTGCTCAGCCATCTGAATACGAAGCTGCTCAAGCCGTCGCATCCTCATGGGGTTGTTCTGGGCAATCGTCATAGCGCGGCCTGGCGGGTGGGTGTACATGGCGAGGATCTCAGCGACTTCACGTGGATCGTAATCGTTATTTTGTCGCCGCGCCGCACGTTGTTCGGGAGTAGGCAGAGTGCCCAAGCCGCCATAGACGCTACGATAACTAGGTGGCGCCTGTATCTCATCGGCCCTCCGCGTACGGCCAGTCGTAGCGTTCATGGTTGTGGTTCCTGGTGCTGCGGCGAACATGGTTCTCAGTATGTTGCCGTTGGGGTCGACGTCCATCCCGTTGGGTCCGATATTTCTGCCCGCGCCGCCTACCCGTAACCCCGCAAACACGAGGGCGTCCTCCGTACGCTCATGCTGGCCTGGTAAGGATGGTCTAGCACGCGGCTCGAGTGCCATGACTCGTTGGCGTGTCCCAGCTCGAATCGTTCCTCCCGCCGTAACTGCGAGACCTTCCCCAGTGGTCCCAATGTCTCCTGTAGCCGTATCAGCCGCGTCGCCCATGATTGTGACGCGAACCGCACCAACACCCTCAGTGTCGGGTGTCGGCGTTATCCCAGGGGCTGCTGAAGCGACTCCCGCCGCCGCCGCCGCCACTGTGTTACGTGAACCCGAGTCGTGGGCGTGCACTGTTTCGTCGTCGCCGTCCTTAGCACTGCACCAAAATCGGTGCCCCTCACTCCACGCAGTGCTCTGGCATTCTTTTCCGCAGTATTTTGCCTTTCGACAGCGCCGACACTTTGCAAACTCCCGTGGATACGACTCCCAGCGACCGCAGAGCACTATGAAAACATGAGTTGTGGAAAGGTAGAGAGAGTACCGTACGCACTGTTGGCACATTGCCTGATGCCACCGCGACTTTCATCCTTCCTACACGCGTTTCGCATAATCACTCCGGCCCAGTATTGTATCTCTTGGGGCAATTTCGGTGGCGCGTTCGGTAAATCCGACTCGCTAGCGCTAGGTCGGAACGTAAAGCGCTCGACCAAGGAGAAGACGTTGGTTTGGCGGACGGGTTGGGGGTTGGGAGATGACGTGAACGCTTTGTAGGCCGAAGACGACGGAGAAGGTCCATTCGTAGTTGATGGGATGGGGTTGGTTGATGATGTTGTTGATGATGACGGCCCCGCAATCGAGGAGCCATAGACAGAGGCGTTCGCGCGTTCCTTCTCCTTTCCTCTTCCGAATGTACGCAGCAGAGTGTCTTTCATTGTAGCGGTGGGGGCTTTACCAGTAGCTCGAGAGGTGTCGGGCTCGCTCGCTTGTACACCTCCGGGGTAGCTCCGGCCAGGTAGCTGCGCGCTTGCCGGGTGGAAGGAGAGTCGAGGCTTGTAGAAAGCTTGCCTGACATGAGGGTACTTGCTGAGATATGCAAGTAATTGCAGGCTGAGGACGACATCTTCGTCCCGGTAGGGTCCCGAGTCGGTATCGCGATGATGATGGGAGGGGGAGGCCCGGGTGTTGAGGCTGACTGGCGTCGGTACGGTGGCAGTAAGTTGGGGAGGGAATGTTGACGGGTCGATCAAACGCCGACCGTCGGCAGCTACGCCTCGTCCGCGGGGCGTTTGACCTTGCGCACCACGGTGGTCGCCTGAAGGCACGGCCGGGAGATTGACCAATCCAGCGCGGGGGGTGATGTCTGGTCCATTGACGCCGGGTATCGAAAGCCGTCTCTCTGGCGCGCCCAACCCAAGATCAAGATCGACGCGACGGCCTCCTGTACCATCATCGATAGCACCTGGAGCACCTGGTGGCGCGCCCATAGCGAAGTCGTCGTTCTGATCCAATGATACGATTCCTTCCTCCACGCCTCCATCGCCTCCAACTGCGACTACGTCAACGCTTCCGCCAGCGTCGGTAATAATGATGGAGGTGGCTGGAGGATCATCAGATACGATGCCCACAGTGCGACGGGTTGGACGGGTGATCGAAACGGAAGGCCGACGCTCAGGCGAAGGGGAGGCGGAGGGCACTATGGCCTGGCGCAATCGTCGTCGACGATCCATGTTAATATCCCCATCGCGATCGGCGTCCAGGTCTCCCTCAGCGTCTCCGTCATCTTCCGTCTCTGTCTCTGGGCGCGACGTGTCCGAAGACGGAGTAGGCGAAGCACGAAGGTGCTCGACGAGACTTGGACGGGCTCGGATCGTGCGTTGACGCGTTGCAGTATGGGGAGGGGTGGGTTGGGCTGGCGCATCGTCCCATACTCTTCTTCCGATGACTGTGCCACTCCTTTCTCTTCCTGGAACGAGAACTGTCGTTGTGGGTGTCGTAGAGCCGATAGGGGTCGTATTCGCGGACGTATCAGTCGATGTGTCGGTATCGCTGTTAGATTGGGATTCCGATGTTCCTGGACGAGAGGCGGAGAGCTGAGAGTTGCTGTCGCGCGCGGTCGCTGTGTTATCCTCCATAGCCTCATCCTGCGGAAACGTTAAGGGTCACACGATACAGACAACCGAAGCGAAAACATACCTCAGGTTCTGCTGATCGTCCCTCCGCCTGCTGCTCCATTTGCTGCCGGATGAGAGCCCTATATAGCTCATCAACATCTTGACGCTGTCTCTGCTCGTTCTGCAACATCCGCCTTGCCTGACGCTGCTCCCTCGTCTCCCTGGGCATACCAGTGGCACTCGCGCTGGGCCCAACCGCAAATCCCTTGTTCGCAAGCCACGCCTCTAATATACACCCCACAACGTCCAATGTCCCCGCTTGAACGACACGACTTCTGATCGGCTCGCTGCCTCTCACGCCAATGTTGACCAGGCACTGGAAAGCGAGCGAGAATCTGTAGGCAGCGTGTTTATCGAAGGATGGCGGGTTGAGAGTGGGTACGAGTTTGTTCGGCCGTGCGGTGGGCGGGGAAAGTCCATACAGCATGGCGGGATTCTCTGGCGGCGGCGGGCATATGCAGAAGTCATGAAGGATGCGTACTAGGCGCTCGAGTCCACCGTCCATGGTCATAATTTCTCGGATTCTCGGAGAAGTCGATGTGAGGTATACCAGCTGCGTAAGCGAGTTGAAGAGCGGCAATGGCGAGGTTGTATCCAACGCTAAATCCAAACTATGTGAGCAATCGAGGCGTTGGGAGCACGCTACTCACCTCGCCTATCATAAAGTTGAGACGTTATACACACACAAGCCCTATTCTGCGCCGGAAAAGCGAAGTTTGATTCACGCATGGCGGGTGGGGTCTGCGGTCAAAATTCCAAGAAATGGGAAGGCGTTTGGGGTCGATTACAAGGCCGTAAGCGGTATATTCCAATCGTATATCGCCCGCGTAAATGATAGAGGAAACAGGAAAGAATCAAGGAAGGGGTCGCCTCTCGTCGTCGTCGTTGTTTTGGTGGCTGAGCAAGACCAAACCGGGCCCTTCACCCACTCTTTGCGCATGTTTGGATCCAAGGTCAAAGCGGGCGCTTCTGACTTGGTGCAATTGTCTCCTTCACTCACAAGCAAGCATCAATATCCGAATTTATCGCTGAGATCATTACAATCGACTTTCGTTGTCAGCTTTCCTGAAAATTCATATGTGAGCTCAGCCGGGCGTCAGTCCAAAGTCGACCCACCACCTCCGACTACCGAGCCTCGCCGCCTGAATCAGCTAGCGAATCATATCAGTCACTCGGATGATGCTATCAGTAAACCCAATAGCATGATCTAGTTCACGGGGCATCAGCACTACTGTGATGCAGAAGCGGCTGATACAGCTAATGCTGTATGGCGATGGCAGCATGAATGTTTGATGAATCACGACGAAGACCCCACAGATCGAGGAGCATGGATGATAAATGGGGCTCCCAGTCAATAGTTGAATGGCGGACCCCTCGTTCCTTACTACCGCCTCTTGGGGTTTACTCGTAAGCACAGTGGCGGTACCGCACTTACCGCGAGTCATCTAATCGTATACAGCACTAAGATTGAAACGAGAGGCACAAAAGACGCGCGTACTTGAAATGGAGGGATGGCGTACCATTGAATCAGCATGATTGTTCGCAACAGCACAAAGTCGTCCATTGCTCAATTTGCAGGAGGCAGAGTTGGTAACCGCATCGCGCGCAAGAGGGTAGATTGATAGACAGGCTACGCAAAGCCAGGCCGTTGATGCAACAGGTGGCCAACCTACCGCGACCCGGGATTCATGGGGCTGATAAAGTTTACTCGTGTGTAGTTCAACGCATGCTTCGAGGTCTGAATGCTGGTTTCAGAATAAACATACCTGAAATCAGAAGCTGGAGAAAGAGCACCAACTTGAGAAGCGCTGTGCCGCAGACATGTTCTGTGGCATATCGTGGTGACGACGAAGCCGGACGTATCATGTCTCTGAATTCAGGATTTATACTTCTACAACATAGCGTGAGGACTGAAATATTGACGACCGAAGCGAAGAATACATGAGTTCAACGAGAGACGGACTTGGGCATGCAGTTGAAAGGCAGCCCCTGTATACTTAGCGCCGGTATAACACGTGGGTCTTGTTCCTAATTGGGAAGTCGGACGCTCGAACCGAACGTCCGCCTGTTCGCCAAAGCAATCCTGACCGACGACTACCACGACCACTGACCACGACGTGCCACGGCGACAAAGCAACGCGCTCAACTTTCACTTAAATAACGAGCTCACGGCATGAACGACATCTCATCGGTAGCGATATGACTAGCCAAGGTATGCTTCTTTCATGGCTGTTCAGCGCCTTCCATTCAGGACGCGTTTTTCTTTCGTCACCAGCCCCCGAAGAGAACTGGGACGAGGATTTCGAATTCGCGGCCTCAGCAACGAAGAATCAACATAGAATGCCACGAAGAAACGATATCGACAACGATGGCTGCGCGCTTCCCCGCCAGTCGATAGCCAGCTCACATTTAACGGAAGATTGGGACGACCCCCAGCCTACACGACGTTCAATCGTATTTGAAGACAAGTTAAATATTGCAGGACCTTCAACTCCTACGAAACGACCAATCCCCCAGGGTCCGGAGACGGAAAATTGGGACGACGACTTTGATCTAGATGCCAACTCACCAGCCCGAAGGGGCTCACCCAGAAAGCCTCCCACGACGCCATCACGCACGCACCCGTTGGATGCAGGACCTCGACGGAAGACCCCCCGCCGACGGAATGCTCGCACGGAGAACTGGGATGATGACTTTGAGCTGGAGGATTCAGATGATGAGGACGCGGAGTTTGGGTTTCACGGCGATGAAGAAGATAGAACGGTCACTGCGCGTTCTCGCCGAACCGCGCCAACGAAGGCAGCACCGACTCCTCCCCCGCCTGTCCCCCCTCTTCCGAACCTCAGTATCAGCGCCCTAAACGCGAACTATCATATTTCAGGGACGGAACGCCCTTTCCCCAGGTCCCCCACTACCTCCGTGTTCTCCGTACCAGCGACGACGACATCGGGCCGCGACAGCGTTGCAGGGCACTCATATCATACGACGAATTCGCAAACACACCTTGCTCTTAGGCCGACCGTCAGTAGGACAAGCGCAGGGCGGAGTGGCGGGTTCAGCGGCCTACCCCCTAGTCCACCCATACACAAAGAACGTGAACGAAGGCGGCTGAGAAAGAAGAGTCGTCCACCGAGGCTGGAGGAAGGCGTATTCGAGTTAGTAGAGAGAGCAGAACGTGCGTGATCCCCTCTTATGTGCCATTCATAAGCTGACAACCCCTTCAGCGAATCCCAAACGATTCTCTGGGTCTAGCTCTAGCGCGCGTGCGAGCTTCGACTCACAGCGATCCTCCGATATAGATGCTAATGTTCGAGCGCGGCATGCAAGTCCACTTTCGGAGGTAGCCGCCGCTGATACAGCGGACAAGGAGAACGTGAAAGAGAACGGCAAGACAAAGACGCCTCTTTTGAGCAGGATCGGTTCGGTCGGGAAGAGGTGGGGCGTACGCAGAAAGAGAGCGAGCACAGCACCAAGCGATGTCGTTCTCAACGAAGACATCGGTGACATGGATGTCGACTTGACGCGTACCCCCCGCCCTCCAAGTTCTCTGTCGCAGACGATAACTCAGCCATTCGCGCTCCCCACCCAGGCCACGTCCTCCACGCAACCGATCGTGATTACCAACACTCCCGCCCACCAGCGCCATATTCCTTCCGAATCGTCGTCTCCTTCGCCAAAGCAAGGTCCCTCGTCCAGCTGGTTTTTTCGGACGCCTAGCAAAGAAACTAGTGGGACGGGGACGTCGTCGAGCTCCAATCCCAGCTTGACAGACGTCAGGGAACTGCGGGAGAAGAAGAGCACCGGGTTCTTCAGCACGGATGACGAGTTCGGGAGCAATGGGAGCGGCGGTATCGCCAACTTCCTCATGAACTCACCATCCAAACTTGTCAAGCGGAAGTCACTTGGATTTGTTCAGCTCCGACGGACGAAACTGGACGCGACCGACGTCGCATCTTCACCATCCCCGCCTTCGTCATTTGGCGCGTCTCCTCCAACGAGCAGATTTCGGTCCGCAACACCTTCGTCAAGTTCAGCCGCTCCATCGCCATCGCCATCTGCGACACCGAAGAAGAGCGCGCAGCAAGGACTTGGGGTAGGCATGGGCGCGCGGCCTACTTCTATGTATCCCCAATCAAGTCAGAGCTCTGGCCAAGGTCAACCGAGGCATGCTAGCTATGGTGGCGCTGAGGTCGCTAAATCGGCTGAGGCGGCTAGTCGGGGTGTCAGCACAAACAGTGGGAGGAATAACGGGAAGCAGAGAGAGAGGAGCCGGACGAGGAGCGCTTCTAGGTCCAAGGGGAAGGAAGCTGAGAGGACGGGAGAAGTGCCAAATGAGAAGGAGAAGGACGGTACTCGCGGGTTTATGGGAGGTATGCGCCGAATCAGTTTGGTCGGGAAGCATAAACGGTCGAAGAGCGCTGCTTCCCTTGCTCTTGTCGGCGAAAGCGGTGCCGCTGGCAGTGCGGGGGCGAGTGGAAGTGACGAGCCCTCTCTCCCTGACCTCCCGAAAGAGGCAGTGATGATGATGAACATGCACGCTTCGAGGGAAGGTAGCGATGGCACCGATGGCGATACCCACAAGACGCCTTCCAGACCAAACGTTCTTCTTCCACCGATCGAGCTTCAGCCACCCTCTCCACCGAGACACCGCAATTCTGACACGAAGGTGTCGACCTCGGCGCCCATTGGGAGCATAGCGAGTGGAATGGAAAGCCTTCTTACGCCGTCTTCCTCTCAATCCAGGTCGTCGCCGTTCACACCTCTGCCCACCATCTCCGGGTCCTCTTCTCCGTCACCCACATCGCCTTCATCGACCGTTCCCACTCCAACTTCACCCTCTCCGGTTCATTCTCCTAGCTCTACGACGCGTCGCTCTCCGGGATCTCCTGGACAAGTAGCTTCTTTAGGCCGTTCGACGGGTGTCAATATGGTTGTCAGTCCCGGGCCTACTGGTAGCATTGGCGTTGCCAGCGGCTCGAATAGCGTCCCAAGAAGGAACTCCCTTGGAGACCTCAAGATTCCCGCTCGTATCAGCCAAGCGCAGGTCAGTCTGAAGAGGGATTTGGGCATGGTCCGCGAGTTCGCCTCGAACATCGAACGTGAGTTTCACTCCTTTGGATTGTAGACCGCCTAAATATCTAAATATCCCTTCAGAGCTTAAGGACCTGCAAGCCGAGTATCATTCTCTAGTGGCCGAAGTGCAGAGTATCCTCGACGCACAAGCTCAAGCTTTCGCCCATCAACCCCCAGCCACTCAGTCTCGATCCATATCTCCCACCATTTTCCCTTTCGGCCGTCGCCATAGGTCAAACACCAACCCCTCGACCACCCCAGGCTCTGCTTCCCCCCATCACAATTATAAGCAACTTGCTTCTGCATTCTACACGCTTAATTCCAAGTACCGCATTACATGGGAGTGCGCCGAATTGCTCATGGAGCTTGCTGGTGGAACGCAACCTTCTACCGCCAGCGGGCCGACATCAAGCGCCTCGGCTCCTGTTGTTCCCGGCGTAGGAGCGACAGGATTGAAAAGTCGCGAACGTGCTATAACGCTAGCTGGAGATGAGTCCAAACCACCTACCCCTACTCCCGGTAGCGCCCCTCCGTCCAACCAGCATGGCCCTCCTCTCGCTAGTCCTACGAACATGGCTTGGCGCGCATCGACTGGGCGGCATGATCTCAGCCAACGCCAGCTTGTTTTGCTCAAGGAGATGCTTAACAACGCCGAATCATCCTTCGTCGGCGATGATGTTATCGCCGAGGAAGCAAGAGCTAGCTCGACGATGGTGAATAGGGATTGGAAATGGGGTGACGCCATGAACAGCACCGTCACCTTGCCGTCAGAAGAAACTTCCGCTTCGGCTGGCGCAAGCGTGGCGGCCAAGAAGAGGAGAAGCAGTCGCTTGGGGATGACCGGGTTAAGGGACCTTCTGCGCTCTTTGAAAAGGGGCCATACGGAGAGCATCATACCCCCACCCCTCCCAATCCCCTCTTCTACTTTGTCGCTCAGCACCGAAGAGTCATTAGACAGCCGAGACGGTCATCGCTACCCTCATCCGCACATCCCAAGTCATGGGCGGCGCCGAGCAAAGACCAGCACCGATCCCGATTCCATGCGGTCAGCCAAAGACGTACGCGCCACCTCCCCTTACGGTCATACGTCTCTTGTAGCAAAGTCATCACCAAGGCGGCCGTCACTTGCATCTATATTTCGCCTCGGACAGAAGCACAAGAATGCTGTCCCAAACGCCAATGCTTTATCCTCCACTGCGTCAAGCTCCAGTATGTCGGTTGACCACAGTGTAGAGAGCGGTGCAAGCGGGCGCATATCCAGGCAAGCTACTAGCGAGGGTGTTGGTGAAGAAGAAGATTGGGACCGACTAGACTCCGCTGAAGACCTCGACGACGTTGCCAAAGCTTTGGGTATACCAGCGGGCAGCGAGGCTTCTTCGACCGTTCGCGGTCGAGGTCGATCACCCTACTTCCAAGCTGATTCTCGGCCACCGTCGAATCCCGCCAGCCGACCTGTGACGCCGAAGCGAACCGCTAGCTCCTCGCAATCGTCTCTCGTTTGGGATGCATCGATGCCCCCTCGCTCGACTAAGTTGTCCAACGTCGAGGAGCATGCAGACGATACACCCACGGCTGAGCAACGAATTTATACGAAGTCGTCCAAAGGGAAATCAAGACCCGCCGCTAGCCCTTCTCGCCCTCCGTCTCGTTCCCAGAAGGTTGTATCAGGTATTCCGAAGTCAGGATCCGTGCGATCCATGCCTGTTCAGTCAGGCTTTGGCAACGGAGGGTTACCCGATTTCAAACTAGCGATGACGCCGGAGAATATCAAGCCATTGCTAGAGAATTCCAAAGAGGTATATTCGAGATTGACTGATTGTATTGCGGACATTAAAGGGTTACTGGCTAACGCAGTGTAGTATCTTTTTCAATTTTGTCGGACAGTTCGTTTTACTCTACATTTATCTTTCTGTCGTTGATAATTTCGTATCTCTTGTGCGCTTATGTGTTCTTCTATTTCTTTACATACAAGGCATCGTCGCAATCTTCTCTTCTCCCAAACTTGCATTGCATCACTTATTTAAATTCAATCTGTACAAGACCTCACAACTTGCTGTCGTTTGCTATTCCAAATCAATAAAGTACGATTTCTCTTGCTAGTTTGGCGTGGCCGTTTCTGTGACTTTCTTGAAGCAATTGATAGCTTGGTATGACTTCGATGACCTCAATGAAGATTTCCCTTGCGTCTGTGACATCGACCTTGGCAAAATATCAACAGGATAAATAATTAGACGGGTATACTACGCTCGTATTGGTTCAACAATTCTATCCACCATCCAGCAGTAGCCCAATGCTAAGACGCGGGTAGGGCATAATGAGCTCCAAGCGTCCATGAATTCAAGGACCGCACATACCAGAGTTAATGAACGGAGACAACAGCACCGCTGGCAGCGCGATGAGCGAGCTCAACAGTACTAGGCGACCTAAAATCGTCCCAGTTATGTCCACCAACAACCACCGTGTGGCTCCCAACATCCAGCCCCGAGAACCCGAAGTCATGGGTGGTGATGGACCCACTCTCATCAACAATATCGTTGAAATGGCTAACGATGTTCGAGTCGAAGCCAACTCGATGTCCGCTAATGCGGCGAAGATCGTGATCGAACAAACCGACGCTGGCATGGAACTGTTGGAAGACGATGATCTGGGTCTCGACTTCGCAGATCTGCTCAGTGATGATCCTATGAGGGAATGTCATGAGATTCCGAAGGGTTTCTAGAAGTTGGTAAGTACCGTTTGGCCATCTCTTGCAGGACAACTAGGCGCTGTTGGATTATCTCGATGGCTTGGGCGTGGCAAACGACGTGGCTCTCCTGTTCTACAACCTGGTTGAAGTGGACCGACCCATCGAAGTTGTCGACACCGTAGAAGTGATCAAAGTTGTCGAGGGAAGCATGTCCGCCCCAGTGGTTGAAAGATATCGCATTTCCGCGAGGGGCTAGAATGAACGATTTCAGTGAAGATATGGTTGTTGCAGTGCTTCAACACAGACGTACAGATTCTCTCAGTGGAACCGCTACCGTATAAGACTGGAGTCGACATGACCCCGATAAGCAGAGCAGAGAAGGTGATGAACTGAAGGACGACTTTGGTGAACATGTTGGTCTATAGGTTATATACGATTAGCGTAATAAGAATATACCGCCCATGGAGCCTCCGGCTTACTGTTTAATGGTAAAATGAATGCACTGATCGGTAGAATCGATGAAGAAAGAACGAATGAGGCAACCTGGCCAAGGAGAACGAAGGAAGAGAGCGAAAGAAGAAGATGAAGGTCGAAGTGATGACTTCTGCCGTCTAGAAAGGCTCATTTATACTCATATACGCGACACGGATCAGAGAGCCCCGGTGTGCCATGGGTGACCTATCATTGCGACCGTCTGCGCGCAATGTCTCTTTGATATTGATGCGCTCGCGTGTCATTCACGTCGAACGGTACAATGTCATCCAGTCCTAGACTATGGGGGGCCATGTGACTCTACATACAGCCGGCGCTGAAATGGTTGAGTAGCAGGACTACGCGGCACTGTCTAGGCGTCGTTGACTGCAGGCCGACGACCAGGAATTAGGAAGGAAACGAGGACGGGAGGGGACAGGCGCGCGTCACGATGATACTACGGCATGCTTAGCACTCGACTTTGCGAGTGAAGACACCGCGCCGTTATCGACAAAACTGCTAATTGACAGACAAAGTTGTCACCTTTGTCGGCAGATCGCCGACATGTCAGAGTTGGCGTGGTTTAAGACTGGCATAGATAAGGGCAGGGAGGTATCGGTTTCACAACCGGGGTGATATATTCTTTTCTAGTACGTTGTCACAGTAAATAGATTCCGAAGTTCGAGTAAAACTATGATGAGGTTAGACTTGGTTCGCTTTTAGGATCGAAGGCCGACAATACTCACAAAAATGGCGCTTTATCCAAGGATATACCCAGCAACGCCTTCGTCGGTGTACCCAGACTTGATAGCACTGTTCCTCTCCTCCCAGTTCGCAGTGTAAAAATGGTCCACATTGGCCGCGTTGAAGAGCCTGAACAGAGGCTGGCTTCCGCAGATCTGTGTAGGGAACACATATGCCGCAACGCCCTCCCTGGTATACCCATTCTTGGAGGCGCTGACGGCCTCCGCCTCACTGGTAGTGTAGAAGTGGTTTACGTGGGATGGGTTGTAGAGGCGGTAGAGAGGGATGGTAGAGACCTCTTGCGAAGCGTAGACGCGACCAGCGGTACCCTCTTGCTGGTACCCGAGGCCGATTGTGCTCTGCCATTCCGCTTGGTTGGTGGTGTAGAAGTGATTCACAGTCGCACCGTGGTATGCGCGATAGAGAGGTACTGCTGCGCGGGTGCGGGGGCAGGAGGGTTGCTGATTGGAGTGGGTCAGTGAGCATAGCGTACTCTAGGTGAAGAAGCGAACGTACCTCAGCAGTCTCGGCGGGGATGGCAGCAGCCTGCGTAGCGAGGAAGATGGAGGCGATGGTAGTGAAGGAGAACTTCATCGTGGATATAGAAAGTAAGTGGCTAGTAGGGAACTGCTTCGAGTCAGAACCAGAGGCCTGAGGAGCCTAGGATAGCTCACCATCGTTTATATAGCAGCGCAATCACAAGAGCGCATGCATGCGCCTTCGATTGAGAAGGTGAATAAGAATCAGTGCCGACGGGACACGGTATAGCTCGCTTGCTCCAGGAACAGTGGCTGAAAGAACGCGCACGCAGCATTCATCCACAAGACTGTTCCGGTCCTCGATCTTGCATACGCTGCCTCGATCTGGCGGTATCTACATCTGGTGCTGCATGGGTCGTTGATAGGGCTTATACAAGCGTATGAACTCCCATTCGAATACTTTGGCCTAACCACCGCCGATGAACCCTATCATAACTGTTGATTCCACTGTCAATCAAAGACATTGTAGGATTTGTACTACAACAGTCGAAGGTCAATATGAGCCATGTTCCACGCGCCCAAGAACGCACCTCGAGGCCTCACGATGCACCAGATGATCATCATACAAAGAGCCAGGGTTACCACAAGGTGACGATGCGGGAGTCACCGACTTAGCACGATGCCAACGGGAAGACGGGTCGATAAACGTCGACGAAATTCGGTAATTGAGCACGGTTCACCCGAATTCGAAGGGAATCCACGAGCTCAAGTTGGTTCCCGGCGTGGATGTGAAAACGGACACTTAAGGGCCATGCCGTCGTAACCCTCTTGTTCTATCCAGAAAGCGAGATATGGTAAGTTTCTCAGCAAGTACGAGTAGAAAACGCGCAATAGCCTGTTCAACGGTTCTGCAAGAGTGTACCTCTCGAGTAATTCCCTGTAAACGAGTCGGCAGGCACCACGGAGGGCTCGAGTTCGTGGCGCGGTCTCCCCTTTCCCACACTTACAAATATGATCCCACACTCAGAGGTTCCTCTACTTGACTGACTTGGGCCAGTCAGTCAACAGTCACACACTACATGTCCTCACTTATATCGCTGAAGGACGCCAAACTCATGGTCCACGCGACTCTTCCAATCCTCTGAATACGCATTGCTCGACTATAAACGATGTCAGCGTTGAGGACAAGCTACAGAGTTTGATTCATATTCGATTTGGGTGAGTTTGCCCATGCATACGCCATACGCGGACTTCAGAGCAAACACAGAGCTTCATAACGACAGTAACAAGGCTCGAGGGCAAGCAATCAAATAATCATCGTTCGCTGAAAACGAGTACTACATGGGGCAATTTCCAGATGGGAGGCAGGAGCGCAAGGTGAAGACAGAGGGTTGACCGCGAGGCCTGCCTTTTCCGGCATTAAATCTGAGGCTACAGGAGGGCGTCTATAAGATGCTGTGAGTTCATATGTTCACCGTTAGATGGAGCATGTAACGCCCAATGTTGACCCCATTCCGTCTAGACTACCTCCAGGCCTACGACGTCTTTGTTCCGGGTACTTCTTCACATATACGGAGAATCTTCGATGGCTCGACCTTGCCTTGAGTTTCCACATGTTTGCTCCGCATGCCTTACGTCTGTCTTCCACGAGGAGCGATTGCGCCTTCTTACTCAGCTCTTGTCGTGGACTCGGAATGTCCGGGCATATCGAAGCTATCAATTGCTCGCGACCTAAAAAATATACAGCCACCAACCTACATCGTTAAACGATTGATTAGACGAGGTGGAAAGGATGTACGACGCATGGGGAGGAGCGGTTCGGACTCGTCATATCCCACTAACAGGTGTCGCAAGCTGCCCTGGATTACGCTCCCGTCAGCGCCAGTGCTATCTCTCCTTGAGGTAGACAAAATACGGTCTCATCTCCCCACCTCCCCATATGCCGACTACAATATGAAGTTCTTAATCGTGCCTGTGACTTTTGGCGACCATCAAGAAGATTGTGCACGGACGCCGCGCGCTGGCTACGAAGCGAGGCCAGCTGGTTGACGTTGACGTAGTGGACCAGGGCTTTCGAGAAGACGACGCCTGCAGTTCCTGTTCGTGACCAGCTTGTGCGGCTATACGGGGAAGCTACGTCAACACGCATAACTCATATGCCTTTGGTGAATTATTTCTCTATCTTCAGCCGCTTTGACAGCGGTTTGACTATCTATATATATAGGTTGGTTTTCTTCTGTACCTGGCACGGAGGCGTCTATTTGTGATACACTCTTCGACAACATATAAAGCCCTTAATATATTGAAGTTTCCTAATCCCCACGCAGTGGTGCCGCTTCCTCTGGTCTAAACGAACTGGGACACTTGACATACACGCCATTTTGGGCGAATATTAAAACATACCGAAGTCAATACTCGGCGACTGCTTGGCGACATATCAATGAAAGAATCACGACAGTCCCAATAACAGAAACATGAAGGCTCTCAGTGTACGAAAGAGACGCTCATTTCTGACACATGATGCGGTCATTACTGGTTCTCAAAGTAGAGTAGGTTCCTGTTCAATGGCAGCCATGTTGTCCGCCTGCGCTGACGCGGCTGATTTATTTCACCACATCACCACACCCTCATCATCAGTTCACTCGTTAACCCTCCTTCGTGTCCAATGTGCCATCGTGTACACGGTGAGGAAAATCGATGGACAGACATTAAGAAGCTCGGCGGCGCTCATTAGGCCTTCTCTCAGCGCTGGAGGTAGAATGGAAGCCTGTTCATTGGTGTCAGGTCTATGTGCATGTAGGCAGCTCCCCTCGCGACTGGGTGTCTTCACCAACCCAATTTCACGACCTTGCCCAATATAGTCCTTTCATCTCATGTTGCTGTATACAGGGCTCCAAATTCGACGTGTCAGCGTCAAGATTCACCATATTGCCGCACCACGCCCATGCAATTAATCAGTTCGAAGCTTGAATGGCCGATGTTTCGGTTCTACTGATATCAAACTTGCCAGGAATAGAGTACGACAAAGCCTGCAGGTAGCTAGTAAGTCTTCGCGTGGCAGGTACATGAGGCACTTGTTAACGGTTATAAGAACTGCAGACGAACCACAGCCCCCCTTCGGCATGAATACCTCTCGCCCCCCTCAGTCGACAGCCCATTCGGTAATCGGGCTCATCGCTGGAGCCACGTCCGTTCTCAAACCACGTTCAAGTCGACACCAAGCAGACAGCAAAAAGGGCATTCAAGATCCTACCCCCGCTTCGGAGATTAAAGGCAAAGAAATATGCTGCCCATCCAACGGCAAAAATATATGTGTTAGTGCAGACGGCACTCTGGGCGAATTCGGAGAGAAGGTGAGCTACTACGTCATCGCCTTTTCGTACACACTTATCGCATTGTTCCACAACAGAATAGCAATGTCGTGGAGCTTCATAGCCGTATCATCAAGGACGAGAAACAGTTGACATACTACATCAGTGGTATAGGAACATATAGCGACTCGGACATCCGTCGTTGGTGGGATTCAGCAGTCGCAGCGTATGGCCCTTTATTTAGCATGAGCTAGCTCGATCTAATTTGTTCCATTGCCCAGGTCGTTTCAAAGAAATGTGTTGAAGGCTTATGAATGGCTTTGCAACAATTACGAACCGGGAGATAGGATATTTCTTTTCGGTGGGTCACTTGTCACCTGGAAAACCTTTTGAATGCTCACGCCCCTTCAAGGCTTTTCTCGCGGTGCATATCAAGTCCGCGTGATTGCAGGGATGATTGAACGAGTGCGTGCTGTGCAGCGTCCCACATGACGCAGTGAACTCATCTCTACATTCACTACATAGGTCGGTCTACTTTATAAAGGAAACAACAGTCAACTTCCGTCGTAAGTACACAAAGATCCACTGAGCCATTCTTTGACACATTACTACAGTGTGCTGAAGTTGTATATGAAGGCAATGGAGGAACCAGCAAGTCAGATTAGGGAAGACGATTTGGATCAAACTTCAACTGAGGGACTATCGGAAGTAGAAAAACAATGCAGAATATTCAAGAATGCCTTTTCACAACCCGGCGTCAAGGTCCATTTCGTAGGCGCGTGGTGAGGCTCTATTGATGTTTGCGAGTGGTTAGAGTCATCTACTTAATATAGTCAACAGGGACACAGTATCATCGGTAGGAATAAGAAGAGAACCATGCCTGCCTGAGACAACCAACGGGATGGGGCACGTCTGCCACTTTCGTCATGCGCTCGCTCTCGATGAGCGACGTGTGAGATTCTGGCCAGAACATGCAAGCAGTTCCGCTCATGCGTCTTCTGGTGGTGATGTAAAGGAGGTTTGGTTTGCGGGATGCCATTCTGATATGTCCGTGACATTTTTATCGTCATTGCATTATCATTTTATAATTAACTGCTCATTCTAGCGGTGGGTGGAGTACCTTGAATAAAGAGCTTGACAGCTTTGGGCCTGCTCTGCGGTGGATGACATACGAAGCAATGAACAATGGTCTTCGCATGCACCAGCATACAAAGGGATGGGCACCGTTGACTCCTTCCGTGTCACTGGTGGGTTTTTGGCACATCTTCGAATATCTTCCTTTGCACCGTCCCTCATATAAGCGTGGCACCTCGCGGCGGTAAGCAAAAATTGGGTCTGTATATTCATACGCAACACTCATTGCATGCCAGACTCCACAACGGTGCTCCTCGGCGGATCCTTGACGGGCAACGGATCCATAAATCTGTCTTCGAGGCCATGGGGATTGATACAGACGAGTTACTTTCTTCAAGCCTAGAAGTGACCAATTCTGCCGGTCCATCAGAAGAGACTGAAGCACCTACTGTCCCACAAGCATATAAACCGCTAGCACGCTTCTATGACGAGGAATCTCACACTTGGGATGATATCCGTCGTCTTGTCGAGGAAAGGCTAGAAGATGATCCTTTCGCATCCGCTGACTTTGCGGTGCGGCTGCTTAAAGGTGCAGCGGACTCAGATGACACAAGATTTGAAGCCGCTATTGGTGTTCTCAAGGGCCACGTTCTGTTCAGTCAGAGCCAAGCCATTGGAGGTCCAGGATCCGCATTCAGCGAGAGTAAGCGACACCAGAATGGCTGTCATTTGTTATAGATTCTTACAAGTTACCAGGACAGGGACTGAAACCTCTCGCTGAAGTGTCAGCAGATGTCTCCGACTTCCTGCTATTGACTCTGGAGAAAGAAGTCGGACGGAAGCAGAATAGGCGTGCTGAAGTTATCACAGTCCTTCTACTAGCGCTGGCAATTGTTCCTCCCAACCACAAGGCCCAACCGAATGTCTCTGTGTTCCGCAACATTGCTGCAGCTCTGCAGGACGACGGATCTTGGAAATCTACTTATCGGCAAGTTGTCCGACATCATGTCAATAGTGAGTTACCTCCCAAGCGTATATATATCGACGTACCTTATAATTCCCCTTTACAGAACCACTCGTCAAAGTAGCGGCAGGTCAACAGCGTTCGGTTGAGTATGTTGGCTTCTCAAGCCATAATGAAGATTTCGTCTTCACAGGTTCTTATGGGGCAATTGTGATCTGGGACTGCAAAACGCAACAACGCATAACCACATTGCGCTTTTCAAGTACCAATTGTCGGGATGTCAGATCAGTGGAAATTTCGGAAGATGGTTTGCGATGCGCAAGCGGGCATGCTGACGGATCTGTTCGATGGTGGAACATAGAAACTGGCGACTCCCTACTCAAACTGAAGCCCGAAGGAACCATTGACCGGGTACGCACGGTGACACTCTCATCTGACGGGACGAAAATCGCATCTGGCTCGGTTGGCGGGATAATTCGGATATGGGCTACAGAGACAGGCAAGGACCTTCACGGTCCTATGAAAGGTCATGGAGATTGGATCAATGAGGTGGTATTCTCCCCTGATGGGTCTCGCCTTGCCTCCGGCTCTGACGATCACACCATACGGCTTTGGGACACTAGCAACGGGAAGCAACTGAAAGTCATGGAGGGGCATACGCATGATGTCTGGTCGGTTGCATTCTCCCCCTCAGGGGACCAAATTATTTCGGGTTCATATGACAAGACGATCCGTATATGGGAAACAGAATCCGGGAAGATGACGAAGATGTTAGAAGGGCATACACAGTGGGTCTATTATGCAGCATTCTCGCCGACCCAGACCTTCGTTGCATCGGGTTCTGGAGACGGGACTGTTCGCGTGTGGGACCAAAGCACTGGAGAGACATTAGCTGTCTACAAGGCAGGGAATCCTGTCCGGTCTGTCGCTTTCTCCAGCGATGGAAAGAAGATCATTTCTGGTTGTGATAATGGAGACGTTCATATTTGGGACGCTGGTTTACTTATTTAGATTTCATGTTTATGTCTTACTCAAATTCACGGTGCCCAACGAGTACTTTAAAACTGATCTTGTTTACGCAAACGAAGTAGCCCCAAGCCAAGAATGCGCAATAGTAGGCACACCCCATTTCTATACCTAGAAGCCTCACCTCTCATCCACGCACGGCAAAGGCCATGTAGATCACCGGCCATTGATAGAACTACGGAACACCTGCGCAGGCGTTTCTGGGATATGGGAGCATACAATGCTTACGCACCAAGACGATGGTCTATGATAAGTCAAAGCACCGATGCCGCCATGACCAAGATCAGGAGTGTGCAGCCTTCGAGCGCAACAGAATCCATCAGGAGGTTGGCCTAGACTGTCAGCCTCAGCAATCAACGCGCTTCGATCATCGGTTGGTCGCTTGGTCGGTCGGTCAAGACTCACGACATGAGATGAAGCTCCCTCAGGATGATTCGTTGTAGTTGACGATCATATAATAGGTCTATCGTACACCGTGCTCGCACATCCAGCTGACCTATCATCGCGGCTTCGGCCGCTTGGTCCCTACAACGCTATAGAGAATCTTCCCAGTATCCACAGGTGCTGCATTGCAAAAGTCGTAGGGGGTCCCTTTCGCAGGTGTCGAGTCGAAGTCGTAAGGAGAGTTCGATGCGTAAGGAACAATTCCGGAGAGATACTCAGAAGGCCTTCCGTCATAAGAAGAGCCTGCATATCCTCCCCCATATCCCCCATACGCCCCACTGTATCCCACGCGATGTACCCCGGTCGGTGGTTCCGAGGATAACGTTCTCTGAAATCCAAATAGTAGATTGGTTCATCAACGTAAACTAGTACTCACGTCGAGGTTAAAGGGCATTGACGGGAGGAAGGAAGTCGGAGTCTGAGGCGCCTGAAGCTCGACTGAGAAGGATATAGTGATCGTTGCGAGGACGTGTTGCTCCTGGAAATCTACCGTTAATGGGCTGGACATCCACGGCGCGTCTCGCAGCAGATCGTTGGCGAGTTTGTGGATATCCTCGAAGGACACAGCGGCCAAGACCTCTGAATCTGAACATGTCTCAAGCGAAATTCTGCTCCCGGTGCGGAGTCGTCTGTGAAAGCAACAGCCGTCGTGTGTCAGATAGGGGCGCAGAGAGATACAGAGGACCATATTCGCGAGCGCCACTCCCCATGATAAAAGACGCACATGCGAGATCGTAAGCACCAGTCCAAATCCCCCCAAGACCAACTAACGGTGTCCCGTGGTGCATCGTTCACTTTGAGAGCGAAGGTTTCTTTGATGTGTTGATGCTCTTCGTATTCCCGTGTGCCCTTACGATGTCTGAGGCGGATGCGGATGGCTTTGCTTCAAGTCAGTTGGGAAATCGATAGATCGCGGTGAGAACGAACGGCTCAGGGATGTGATGTATATTTGCAGCGTAATTGACCGGGCATCGCCTTACCTTCGATGTATATTCTGGGGAAAGCACCCCTTGTCCTCTTGCTAAACATGGATGAGGATCGTGAAGTTCATCATAGATGCAAGTTTGCTACTCACTGAGTCGGATATCTATCATCTCCAGGGCCCACAGACATCGTCTTGGTGGGGGCTAGAGGTCAGGCAACAAATGCGAGCTATTTGGGAACGTAGTCCTGCGTCGACGGTCGGTCGCGAACAAGGAAAAGCTGTGCAGTTCACAGCATCAGCGTCAGTTCCGTCTGGGCGTCCACCTTATCGCCCGTCACCTTATCGCCCGTTGACAGTCGTGGACAGCGGTAGTCACGAAGGTCGTCCCCGTGGGCCCTGGACGAGTCTCGACGCTATTCGAGTGCTTGTAGTGTACTGAAGTTGGTCAGTTCATTGTCACCCGGTCGCCTAGAGAAGTACTGCGTGATTATTCAAGACACATAAGTTACGGTCGTAGAGTTGGTGGCGCGGGCGCTTAACGGGAGTAAAATCCGGTGTACAAATAGGCTTCCACACTGTTGTTGTTCTAGTCACCGTCCACCACGCGATATGGCAGGGCGCTGAACTGCCTTAAGTATCGGCCGTCGTGGAATATTTCCAACACTATGCACCCCCTCTTCTTGTACCACTAGCAATGTCGGAAACAGATTATCAGCGACATCGGTGAGTAGCTCGATTCCTCCTTGTTTCGTATGTTTCTCATTCAATTCTCTAGGATTTACGTTGAAGGTGATTGATCCAGAACAGATCTCGTGCAAGAGGCGAAGCAGCTGACACGACTCTGCCTGCAGCCATTCAAATACGGGTGAAATCTCCGCATCTTCACCACACCAACGATCAGACAAGATGGCTGTCTATCTCGTTCAAAGTCAACAATGAAATCAAGGAGGAGCGGATACACTGGATATGGGGGGATCTTGATTGGATATTTAAATCGCCTGTGTGAGTTTCACACCCGTACGCTATGCTGATGCCTCACCGAAATCGTCGATTACAGTGAACTTTGCTCGAGAAATAAGGCGTTGATCGAGATTAGACCAGGGCTCTCGTCGACGACCGACTCAGAGGTCTTCGCTGGGTTAACGTTCGAAGATATCATTGCGTTCGCAAGGAGTCGCGGGCACGCGATCGTAGACTTCCAACGAGACCATCAGCTCGCGTCAATCATCGTGCGGGTCAGAGTTTCTAATGTATGTAACATCTACATTTACCACCAATTTTAGTCAAGCGACATTTACTACTTGAACCAGACTCCTGAGCGATATGGATATGAAGATGCCCGACAAGATGTCAAGCGGAGGGACAGCCTAAAAGACCGGGTGTCGGGTTATCTCGAAAGGCCTTTCAGGCGTAGTGAAAGGGTGAGTTCTTCCACTCCATTACTCCAGAGTGACTGATATAACAGTTCGACACCATAGCACGAAGTGCCACAGGACTACTGGGTGGGAGCGACCCCCTACAGCACGCCGGCTATGCCGCCTTTCCCGACGGACTGGAGGGACCCGTCAGCGGTGTACCCTCCTGGCCCGGCCGCGCCTATGTATGAAATACCGCAGCCCTGGCAAGACCCAATGCGCCAAGTATCACCGCAAGCTTGGGCGGACCCCGAGCCGTCAGATACCGGGAAGATTGAGTATACGGTCGTGGGCACCCGCAGGCCGAAGCCTCATTGATTTGACTGGACACTCAATTCGGGAGTGCTTGTGATGAATGATTGCGTGCAGTTACGAGCGCTGTCGTATTTAGTGCTCAGTTTTCAATTGTATGGGTTCCATTTCGCGTCGTATCGCCCGCTCGACCCTAAGACGTCTGATCAAAGAGGACAGGCACCGATAAACCAGCCAAAACGAACACCTTGGTTGCAAAGTCACTCTTGGTTCGTCACCGCGATTATGGATGAAGCGTCTAAGTACGAGCGCGGCGTCGATCTGGGATGGTTCTTCTTCCGCCTGCGCTACGAGGACAGATCCAAACGCAGGAACTTCCAGAACCTGCGCTTGCTGCTTGTGTGGGGGATCTGCATCACGGGCAAGGAGAAGTGCACGGTCGCGGATATCTTTGAGGAATTGCCAGGATTGGAGTGTTTTGAGGCGATGAGGGATGATGTGACGTGCACGCGGGATGCGAGGGACGGGACAACTCGGGTAGTTCGGTGGAGGTGCCAGAAGAACGAGGCGTGGCGTCGTGATTGGGAGAAGGGTGTATCGACTGTAGATCCTGATTCGCCTCTTATTCCGTTCAGCTATTTTTAGTGCCAGTGAGTCCTTGAACCTCATCACTGTGCGCGTGTGCCTACCCATTGCATTGCCACTAGAACTGTTCAGGTCCATTATCTGGTGGCGGCGCTCCCTTCCGCATACGCTCTCAGCCCATGTTGACTACAATCTGCAAATGTGTTCGCGATTAAGCAAAGATTGCGGACTATATCGGGTACTATCGTATTTTCGTATGATATGATAATGTGTCGATATAACCTCTATCCGCGTGTTTGCCGTTGGGTATAGACGGATGATTGTACGTCCAAAATGATGTACTCTGTGCGCTCGAGACCCTTGCGCGCTGGAGGTATTTCGGACCCGGTGTTGTACAGAGTTGCCATTGGTGGTTTATGGCAGGGGTTGCGTGTTAGTCGAGTCGAAAGCACAGTGGACAAGTGCGAGAGGAGAGTGGAGCCGTCTCGGTGGCGTCGGTCTCTTCGTATACCGTAACCGTGTCTGCTTCCATCTGGGAATGTCTTCTCTAGCTCTCTAGCAAGTATCTGAACTGAGAAGTAAACGTGGTGCGCGTGAAAGTCTCGGAGTTGCTTCGGAGATTGTAATACCTGGGTTGGAGCCGACAACGAAAGCGCCCAGTTTACAGTGCCACCATGACGTCCACTCCAAAGACATCCCGACATGCTACAGCCGCTGCTTCCCTCAAACTCAAACCACCACCATGTCTCCAATAATCCCAGTTCGCTGCGTCGTCTTCCCGAGCGCCTTCATCAGGGCCTCATTTGCTCGATCCATGAGTTCTGGGGCTTCGTCAAAAAGTACGCATACATCCACCCAACTATGCTCATCATTGACGGTTCGTAGATCCACTAAAGCAGTCTAAGAACTCGGCCAAAGAAGCCCGAGAAAACTCGAACAATCCCATCGACGCCGCATCTCCACAACGCTTGGAAAAGCCGTCCAAAGATGCGACAGGGAACAAGGAAGGGATCGGTATGGTTGACCAGGTTGGGAGCCAGAGTTCGACGGCCAAGAAAAATCAGGGAAAGTCGTCAAAGTAGCGGAGGTTACTGGGATATTCAGCGGTCGACAGTGTTCATTGTGAGTGCCCGGATCGTGTGCAGAACCATAACGAAGTTGACGGTCTTTTCGATTCTAGTCTTTTTGTCCCCGTTTATATTAGTATACGAGAATCGACGTCCGTTGTTCCTGACAATGAATTTCGGAATGATATAGTTCTACAACGCGCCTCCCGAGTACCCATACTCTAGCGAAGGGGAGGCAAATTGTATATGCGCATCCTAATAGTGTGCATACATGAATGGTCCTTGGTTTCTCGACGGCGTCTCTACGTTTCATGAACTCCAACTTCAACAAGGTCCGCTTGGTGGAAGTCACAAAACTGGCACTAAAACGAGCTATATGCTGCCCGGGCGCATGTCTCCGTCAAGGAGGACATACGGAGTATCAACACGCTGCCTGGGCCATGGTACGTCCTCCGCAAATGAAGATTGCGGTACACGACACCTACCCTCAGATTCCTCAGATCAACAAGCTACGCGAACTATTCTATAGTGCTTTGTGGACAAACTTACTTAGAGCAAGAGCTCTCCAGGACGACATCTCGGCTTCGAGTACAGGGTTCATAGGGCCTATATGATGTAGCGACGGCGAAATAGAGTCAATAGAGTGCGTATTTGAGTCTCGTGCTTCTCATCCTAATTGCAGAACTTTGTCCCTCGTTGATCGTTCTCTCCTCTGGCCATGAAACAGGGTATTGTGTTTCCTGACGGAGCTGACCATTCGATTCTCAGCGGTCGTCCCTTCACGCTTTGATTCACGCCTGCGCTATCTTGGTCAAAGATTCTAGCACATACCCCTTGTCGTGCCGGCATGTTTGTGTATCCCATCTCACGAATGCTAAAGTGGCTATCGCAATGGGTGATGCCTGATTCATCGGAGCCACCAAATACCACGCATCCCCTAATAGCATGCTCCAAGGCCTCTCTTACCCGCGTTGTACTCAGCGTTGCTGACAAGGGAGCTTCGCGAATTCCCACAGGTGTCAGGCCCGCGAGACATCCCTCTTCCTGATTTCTTGGACGATCAAAACAACACAGATTAAGACGGATACGGCGAAAGATGTCGTACAGTAAGCTGGCCTCCAACGACGGACTGACCGTATTCGACGATCGTGTCGACATCGAGGATGGGGACTACCTTCAGGAACAGTTACTAGGCTTGGGGGAGCAGCATCGCCGCAGCCGCGACGAATACTGTTTTTCTCGACGGTGCACTCGAATCATCAATTCGCCCATAGTCCTTTGGTGTATCGTCCTCCTTCAGTTCGTCACTATCGGGGTACTCGTCTGGCGTATGGATTCACCTGAACAGAACAGTCTTTTCTGTATGTGCTTGTTCTCTCTACCTTATTCACATCCCAAGCTCAATGCCCCCGCTAGCTCCTGCGAATGAGGCTATTTCGTACAAGTACCACCGTTTCTTCAACGGCTTTGGACGCAATGTCTCCCCCTTCCAAGTCCCACCCTCGAAGGAACTCGACGACCTTTGGGAGGACCTTTACAACTGTACGTGAAACCACCATCCGCATCGATTTCTCAGCGATTTCACCCCGACTCTGATTCTAGTGGGTATATCACGCATCCCTACCTCCCAGGCCAAGCAGCTCCCAAATGCAACGGAGGCCATACCAGGGGACGAAGACAACTACATTGTCGAGCTCGACGTCTTCCATGAACTCCACTGCCTAGTGAGTACTCGATCCGCTATCGTAAATGGCTTTCTACCTACCGCCGCTTCGCCTTGTCTAGAATCGCATACGCAAAACGATTTATGCAGACCACTACCCCGACATGCGCCTTCCTCTCCCGGGAAACCAAGCCCATATGAGCCACTGCCTCGACTCGATCCGCCAGTCCCTCATGTGTTCGGCGGACGTCAGCCTTATCGTCTGGAAATGGGATGACGAGGCCGGGCAGTCGTTTCCCCGCGGCGATGTTGTCCATAGATGTCGCGACTTTGATAAGATCAAGGAGTGGGCGGCGGAAAGGCAGCTTATGGGTAACTTCAACGCGAGCGTGCATGTGGTGAATGAGTTGCCGTCGCCGCCATTGTTGTATTAGGTTACCCACCCTTGTTGACGATGATTCGTCCTTGGAAAATGATACCCTTGGGGAAACCTTGATATCCATATGGAGGAGCAGAGCTCGTCGGGTTTTTATCGCGTTGGTGCATCGATATCGACATCTATCATCGGCCAACCCTTCCGTGTTGTGTGCCATCGAGCAAGATATTTATAGCCTCTCGAGCAAAAGTGCCTATGACACGCGGTGAGTCCCCAAACATCACATATACTTGATATTACTCAGCTATCTGGCTAGCTTCATCAAACATAATCTATTCAATACCCCACGGCGAACAGATCACACGAGGACACTGTTCCCCGCTGTGTGGTTTCCTTTCCCCTTGAGAGTACATGGATAACAATGAATCTGCCTCGACCGCATGCTCACTCAGAGCCCCCTGGGGCTGCCGGCCCGGCTAGTCAACGCGCTGCTCGCCCAGCGTCTGATCCGAGTCGAGGAGCAAGGTGCGAGGAGCAAGCACGCACATATAAGTCGAGGGTGTCTATCCCCCAATCGTCAGTAGTACCCCGCCCTCGTTACACAGAAGCATCGTGCTCAGTGCTCAGATCTCAGAGATGCAGACCTCCCTCCTCGCCATAATCGCCTGTGTCGCTGCGGCCGCATACGCCCTCCCCCTCGACGCCGCCGCTGTCCAAGCGAAGCGGGACGGCGCGACTGTGTGCGTTTTACGTTTCATTGCGCTTGGGCGTCTTAGTTGTACTGGAGTGCTAACGAGGTCTGGCAGCGACGATATTAATATTTCGTGGTGTTTCCACCCCAACGTATGTGCTCGGGAAGCCAAGCAAGGTTGGTATGCGTGTGCTCGCCGCCGTCTTGCTGAGCTTGCTGATGGATGCGCCGCCTATAGAGTGATGTAGTTAGGGTCGACCCCGCCCGCGCGTTTTGGTACTTGATAGATCTACGGCGTATTGTCAGTAGTGTTTCATAACGATAGGATGTGGCGCGTATGTAATCGCGAGGAAATAAGAAATATATACCACGGCGACTGTAGCAGGTTCCCAACCTCAACTACGGAACAATAATCGGTGAACGTGTCTTTACCTTAGAGAGCTAATGCCCATCTAGCGGCTATCCCCTTCGAACTCCCAGATGCATCTTGAGACAACGATTCCCGGGTCGACTTCAACTGATGCATCCCTCACACAATTCTCTACGGTCCAAAAGTCTTAGCGAATACTATCACCCTCATGGAATGGGGATGTATTAGAGCCACCCACGTGGGCGGGATCCGTTCCTGTACGTATTGCTCAGGGTATGAGGGTATTGAGGGTACGATACCGGCACCTATCGAGTCCTTGTCGATTTCTCCTTTCAGTACGTTTACTTGAACTCACGAGCGCCCCAGACACGCGTCGGCTCTCGCCTTGTGCCTTTTGAGCGCGTCGGGCAGGCGCTGGGTGCTTGGTGCGTGGTGCACGGCGCGGACGACGAGGGGGCGCCGATGGCGGAGGTCGAGGTCTTGGCGAAGCCCGGAGTGGGCTTGGGAGCACGATCGAGTGCGCTGCTCGACGCTCGTGTAGCGGCGCGGAGGGCACCGGGGTCGGTGGTCGGTGATGAAGGCGCGGACCTCGTAGACGAGCTCGGCGGGGAGGTGCTTCTGGGCGAGCGCCGCATGCCTTATTCGGCGCGGGGAGATGGAGAGTCGGGGCTCTAGAGCGGCGATGCATGCGCTATAAGTGAGGCACGGGGAGGGCTGTTGTGCCCGGGGATGGGCGCAGGCATTGAGATGTTGAGAGCGCGAGTCGGTGGTTGTGCTTCGCGAAGATCGCAGCGAGGACGACAAACGAGCGACGTGAAGGAGATAAGACGCTGTTGCGGGCGGAAGGGCTGAGTACTGATGGCGTTATCGAGCACCACGTTTAGCCTGAGGGACTCTGAACGAAAAGTGAAAGAACGCACCCGGGTCCCATGCCGTTCGAGCAGTCGCTCAAGATCATCGATCAGGCCGAACGAGTCGAGACACCAGACACGAGACATCGTGCCAGGATTCCCGCATTAATTGCGCTCCCGACGACTATGCTCGCCGAGGCGCACGATCTGCAACTGCTGTCGTCGACGTGAAGCCCTCGCGGGTTGCCGCTGGCGTCGAGATCGGACACAATGTTGGTCCTTGGATCCATGACGCGTCGACGTATGCAGAGTGCTTTTTTGATGTTGCAAGGGCTACGATCATGGATTATGGCGCACAGGAGATCTATGACTGTGATCCCACTCAGCTACCGGATGCCACGATTCTAAGTACGATCTCAGTGCTGTTGGTGAAAGGGCTGAAAGGGTTGAAAGGTGACGCACCATGAGCCGAGAGCACACCGACGTCAGTTCGACTTGCTGCTCGTGTCCGTGGGGTTACACACGTCTTCGTTCACGCCGAAATTCATGCATTCCGCTCTGTAATGTTGGAGAATTCGAACATGATGGTGTTTAGCATCTAGCAGTTCAATTTGTGACATTGGTGTGACTTCGATCGTAAACAACTACCGTGACCTCATCCAACATTTTCAGGGGCCCTGTCTGTGAAGCTACAGGACGGGCGGAGACACCTTGGTGACTAGGGCACTCCGTCGATATCCTTCAAGTGAGTACTCAGACATCCACGACATCGGATCCTGCATTCATGCCGTCACCGCGATGATAGACCAAAGCTGTCGCCTGGTATGCGGCGAGTAACATTCGGTGCTTCGCGCTCTCCTCCTCGGTGACTCCTTCTCTTACACCCTCGACTCACCATCACCTCTTCACATCTTCACAGGAAACACGCCCGATATACCCCACGCCCTGCCTGGTCTTCGTGCCACCCGCTGCTTCGTTCGCCTTTGGCTTTGGGCTTCAGAATTAGAATTCAAGGATCGAAGGTCTCAAGATCTCAACTTGGGCCGTCAGCGGATTGACAACGACGAGATGGATCATAGTGCGTCGGGGTGCACTGCACTGACGGAGGATGTCCGCCGTCCGCCGTGGGCCAAGACGTGCGCGCACTCTTCCATTCCGTCTCTCCCCTCCCCGTATCCGTATCTGTATCCTCAGCTGCAGATGGAGTCGCAGCCGCAGCACCCGAGCATCCCAGAAGCATCGTATATCACATCACGCATACACGAACAGCACACCAACCGCGATAACTCCAAGCAACACGATCGCATTGCACCATCATCTACGGGAGGGCGTATGCACATAGCACATAGCACATAGACATTTCGTGCACTTCTATCCTATAGTCCTACATCTACGTCCCCGCGTCTCGCCCTCTCCTCCCGCCCACGCCCCTCCCCGCCCCACACGTGCCTACCGCCCGTCTCGTCTCGTCGACATCGCACCGTGCCCATTGGATTTGGCCTCTCATATCCACTATGCCCGCTGATCACGGTATACACACGCGGACCCTCCCTCCCTGCTCATAGAGACGAATATTCAGGCAGAGGATTCTTCCGTGCGGTGGGATGCGCCGAATTCCAAATGCTGGTCTGCGCGTATGCGATGGAGCGATGGACGATGAGACAGCCTCAAGTCGAGTGCGTCAGGGAAGTCCGGGAGGGCGGGACGCCGCGTGACGCCACTGGAGTCCATACAACAGCGAACGGTGAACAGCGAACGCAACTCGACCCTACCTGCCCCAACAACACCTCCCCTCGTCGTCCTACCCACCGACGTCAACAAACAACAAACAACAAACACCATGTTGCGCTGCGCTGCGCTGAATATCGCCGGTACGAGCGAGGACACGAGGGTGTGATGTTGGGGGTATCGGGGATTGGTTGACTGCGGGTGCGCTTGGAGGAGGGGAGTGTGGAGTGGGCCCATCCATCTCACACCGCACCGACGCCTTGCCGACGCCGCCGCGGCACAAGCCTAAACGCACACACCGCGTCCTCGCATCGATGTACGACCGCAATCGCCCATGCTTTTAGGACTTTGGACTTGGTGCGACATCGAGGGAGCGGAGCAGAACCTCGTCCGCAGCATCGCTGCAGTCCCGATATCCCAACCGGAACCGCCGCACCTATTCCTATCGTCCGCGTCAACTCTCGCCACCACAACGGCCAGCACAGCGCACCACTAGTTCAAAGTCTACAAATGCCTCGACGTGGGACGATCGGACATGGATACGGTATGGTACGCGCAGGACGGTTGGGCGCGGTGCGTGAAGTGGGAGCGCGCGGGTGGTTCTTGTTATGTGGGTAGGAGCGGGGAGTGGTGGGCCCAGGATTGGGAGGGTGGGAGGGTTGCGTGTTGAGTGTCGAGTGTCGAGTGTCGAGTGTAGATCCGACGGGCCGTCGTGCTTCTGCACGGTGACGAAGTGAGAACGTGCTGCTGCTGGTTTGAGTTGGGCTGGCGTGAAGTTGGGGATGGGGTCGGTTGTGCGTTAAGACCAACAAGTTGTCTGTTCGTATTCTTGTGTACTTTCATTTCTCATGTAGTCCCTTTCCATCTCCTCGTCGTGGTTTACAGATCGATAGAAGAGAGATGTATATGAGATATATGAGATTTGTTGATTAGACTGTACGGAGAGTTGCTGGAAATTTATGGGATAGACGTACGTCAGCTTTGAAATTTGACTGTTCGGGTTCTTCAGTCAAGCGTTTCATTAATTTGATTTGCACTCCTTTTGGTCCGAATGAACGATGCACGCACGCACGACACAAAGGCTAAAGTATGGTGCAACACTAACGCACTATGGCAAATCTTATCTCATATCTTATCAAATCAGCGTCAGCGTTTACCGTTGCTGTTGTGCTCTTGTTGTCCCATGTTTCTCCTGAATCCTGAAAAGGGCGTCGCCTCCGCCGATCAAGCACCCGTGTTTTCTTTGATTTCATTTTCATCTACCGTTATACGCTCGCTTGTCGCTCTTTTGCTCCTCCCCCCACAAAACTCCAAAAAAGCCAAAGAACGAGAAAAGATGTTCGCGAAAGTCTAGTGAGTGCTCGCTCTGCTATGAAACTCTCTTTGGAGGGCTTTGGTCGTCGAGGAGAGGCAAGAAGGAGCCGGCGAGGCGGTGTCGTCGCTGCGACGTTGAGTACTAGTCGTCGTCGCTGGTGACCCGGAGCCTCCTCCTCCCTCTCTCCCATCTTTTCTGAACTCACTCTCCACCGCTCCGTGTATCATCGCCGCTCACGACACCTTCTCTGCAGCACACTCACGCTCCTGGCCTCGCTCGTCGCCGCCCTCCAGATCGCCCCGCTCCGGGACGCGCGGTCGCAGGGTGCTGTAAGAGTCACCTGGACCAACGACGCTGACGATACGTGCGTCGCCCTTCTCTCCTCTTCCCTCTTCTCTTCTCTCTTCTCTCCTCTCTCCTCTCCTCTCCTCTCTTCTCTTCTCTTCTCTTCTCTCCTCTCTTCTCTTCTCTTCTCTTCTCAGCTACGTACGTAACGTAATCTGACCCCGCCCGCGTGCAGATCCCGCTTCGCCAGCTTCTCCGTCTTCCTCCACCACCCCTCCTTCCGCTCCGACTTCGCCATCCTCAACAACCAGCGCCCCGCCGACGGCGGCGCAGACGTCACCCTCCCCGTCGTCCCTGCGCAGTGCGTACCTCTCCCTCTCCCTCTTCTCTTTTCCTCTTCTCGCGGCTCTCCTCCTTACCCCTATTTTGCCTCACCTACCGTATTCGTATTCGTATTAACGCCACGCTTGACAGGGACGGCTACACCCTCCGCGCGACCGACGTCGGCAACATCAACAACGAGTTTGCGGTCTCCTCCCCCTTCTCCATCGGCCCCGAGGCGTCTTCCTCGTCCACCATCGCCTCGTCCACCTCCTCATCAGTATCTGGATCGGGGAGCAGCACGGGCACGGCGGCTGTGACGCTGAGTTCGGGGAGTGGGACGGTCCTCTCGGTCCCCCCGACCTCGGCGTTTGGCGTCACGGTCAGTTCGTCGCCGACTGCTTCGTCGCCCGCTGCCGGTGCGTCGAGCGGAAGTGGGAGTGGGAGCGGGACGAACACGGCTGCGCAAGGTGGGGCGACGAACTTTAATGGCGGGGAGAAGATGGGGATGGGGGTGAAGGGCTGGGCTATGGGGGCTGCTGTTATGGGCCTCGGGTGGGTCGTTGGGGGATACTAAGCCGTGGCCGTTGGGCTGCGATGGAAGGGGTGAATAGTACACGCAACACAACACCCAATCAAGCTCGGACGTCTGGATGCCCCGCCCCTTCCGTAGTTTCTTCCCTTCGTTGCATAATCGGTAATCGGTGGTTGATAAAGATGAATGGTGGTGTGGTGGTGTGGGTGGCTTTTTGGTTAGTTGGTTATTTTATATCGGACTATTATCTGTTCCTGTTTCTGTTTCTGTTTGTGTGTCGCTGGACACGTTGGTAAGTCGGAGTACGCAGGAGTAGGTGTACTTGTCCTGTCGCTACGGCTGCTCGAGAACTATTGGAACTATTGAACTGCGTACTTATAGGGTGTTGACTCTGTTGAAGAGGATTGTGTGGTGCTGGACGATGCGTGATGCGTGATGCGTGGTGATTTGTTTAAGCGATGGAACTTGGAAGGTGTAGGGGGAGAGGGAGTGGGAGTGGGAGTGGGAGTGGGAGTGTAGGTGAGCGCGGAGTTGGGTGGTTATGGTTAGAGTTTCCATCCTGGATGAAATTGCGGGCGCTTACTGGCCCACACGCCGACGTCTCGACACATTATACAAAAACTAGAAGGTTGAATCATTCAGAATCATTCAGAAACAACCCAAGACATGCATCATGGGATTGAAAATTCATAAACAATACGTGTATCATACTTTCTACATATCGGAACTCTAATCGCATATACATATTTTTGTTTTAGAAGATCGTAATAAATAGCGAGGAAGGAAGATGGCATAGGGAGCCTGCAAGGCGAAAAACACGGCCGATAGATAACTTGTTGATGCTACCAGAAAACGTCAGACTTCAGACTTCCAACTTCTCAATGTCTCACTGCCATCCCACCTCCACTCACCACTCACCACCCCTGCCCCCACCCACCCTCCTCTGGGTCGCTTCACTCATCTTCGTCGCTCGTCTCCACACTGCGCAGCCATCGAGGCATCCTCCACACCGGGCGGAAATACAGCGGCGGCGCCGGATCCACACGCGTCACCCCCGCCTCCCAGTCCTGGCACCACTCCTCCCTCACGCCCCCGCTCTCCTCGCATACATTGTACTCGTCGCTGCAGTAGCACCGCGCATGACACTTCCACTCGACGACCCGCGTCGAGCCGTCCCGCGCGAACCGTATCCACGTCTGGTCGTCCCGCATCGCCTCGAACTCCTCCAGCGCGCGCAACTCGGCGAATATCTCAACGACGGTGCCGCCGCCATCGCTCTCGTGCGGATGCTCGGTCCCGTTATGATTGGGGGTGAGGTACAGCCGGCGCACGCGCAGGAAGCGCAGGCCCTGCAGATGCGCACTGCGGCTGGTGCCGGTGACCTCGTCCACGGCGCGCAGCGCAGCGAGCAGGCGGCGGAGGTTGCGCCCTTTCAGCACGATGTCGAGGCGCTCGAGCTTCGGGAGGAGCCCCGCAAACGCGAGGTCGCGGTCATCGCGCGCAAGGACAGTGACGTTGCTGAGCGCGGGGGGCAGGCGGGGCGCGTCGCTGGGGAGTACGGGTGGCGGAATCAGGGGGATTATAAAAGGGCACGGCGGTGGCACGGTCACTCGCAGATGCGTGATCCCCCGTACGCCCTCCAGCCCCCTCAGCGCCTCGATGTTCACGGCCGCGATCTTCAGACGCCGGAGATTGGGGAAGGCGTCCGCGGGAAAGACCCCCGCGAGGCGGTTCCTGGCGCGATACTCGAAATAGTGGATGTTCTCCTGCGAGAGGAGCCAGTGCTCGAACTGCGTGTTGGGATGGGTGTAGTATTCATGCAGCCGCGCCTTGAGCCGGATGCTCGGCGGCGTGAACACCAGCGTCCTCAAACCCGCGAGCTGCTTGCGCATGCCAATATCACTGGGGCGCCACCGCGCGCGACACACAAATTCCGAGTGCGTGTCCGCCTCCAGCACGAGGGTGTGCATGTTCGTGAGCCCAGCGAGGAAGCGCTGCACGGGGAGATACGCGTCGCGCACGTCCGTCGGCGTGTCGTAGTATTCCTGAGGCCTGGCGATGTATTCCAGCGCGAGCGCAAGCGTCTGCACCTGCTCCCCGCGCGTGCGCCATGCCGAGCACTGCGCGTCCACTTGCGCCGTGAGCGTGCGGAGCAGCTGCCCCCCGACGTGCGGGCGCACGGATATGTGCTTCCAGAGCTTCGGGAGCATGAGCGCGTGGAACTGCCGCGAGACGCGGAGGATATTGCGCATGTCGTGGTATTCGGTGACGTGGGAGAGGATGTTGTCGAGAATTTCGACGGGGAGGCGGCTTCGGGGGAAGGTGGGGGAGCCGTTGTCGAGTCTGTCGCGTCCAGGGATGGGGGAAGGCATTTGGACCCCGAGTCGCGAGTGGATGTGGCTTGCCTGGTTGTCGTTGTGGTTGTGGTTGCAGGAATCTACAAAGACAATAGAAATGTGCGAAGAGGATGTTGATACTGGCAACTGTGGTTCGCCCGAGATATTCTCGTTGTAGTTGGTTCTGTGGTTGTGGTTCTGGCTCAGTTGCAGACGGACGGTGGTGGCAAGTGGAAGAACTGAAAGGTGGCAGAGCGGAGTATATACTTAGGTGGCCAAAAGATGTCGCTCAACGTACACACCATACTAGGAAACTCCCCAACAGAGGAGACAATGGGAGACAGGGTCGAGGAGTCGAGGACCTCCACGACCGGAACCAAACAGTCCACCCGATGCCCACAAACTACCCTTGTGAGCGTAATTGACAAGGAGAGATACCGTCTGTATCCACGCTCAGTACGTCGGAGCAAAGGTAGACGCATGTATATACATTCTCGGGCCGCCTACAGCGACATCGTTGGCTTGATGAACTTTCGCCGTTAGCTACGCTGCCTTGCAAGATCGAACTGAACCTCACCATACTATCCATACTATGATTCACGATGGATGCGAGACAATTCATGCCGAAGCGCTGCTAAGCCGGAGATAGGTCAATCAAATACCTACGACGCTGTCAATCCTCGGTACTCACCTCCTAGCCCATTTCACGCTATGCAGATATCGTTTCTTCGACTCTCTAAGACGAATGTCGGGTCACAATTCCCCCCATTCCGTTCGTAAGTCGCCAGCTTCCGATAGCATGCTTCCGGGTTCCCTGTCCTGAATCTCCATGTCGTCCTTTTGCCCCACAGTTCAACCCCGTCAATCAGTATGAGGTGTTCATCTTTAGTGGCTGGAGGGTCGGCATATATAATTTTCGTTCTGACCACAGCTACAGCTACGAGGAGGACTGACAAGCATCAGAGTCGAAATGCCGAGCCTCATGAACCCGTTACTCACGATACTGTAACTCACCTCCAGTCTGGCCGACAACCATCGATATCTTTCTGACATCAAGACGCGCGCGGTTATGACGACAATTGAGGCGCTGATACCTTTGCTGCGCGTTCTCTGGGAATACGACCCAAGACAAGCCCAAGAACAGCTTAGTGGAACAACCATCCGTGGAGGTTAATGGCGCTGGCATATTTTTCCTGTGAACGTATGATTAGTTAGGAAAGAATGATTCCTAGGTTGTGAGGAAGGAGGTCTTCATGGCCACGGACAAGGTGGTCTACGTTCAACGTTGTGCTCGGGAGTCGTTTGTGTCGGTCAAGCGTGAGAAATTGGGATAAACCGTCAACCCAACCACGGCGCCTACGCAAATACGTCCTGGATCATTGTTCCAACCTTCCAGCCACATGTGCCCTCGTGGTATCGGCGAGGAAGGAAAGGCGGAGACCCCTCAACATTGACGGCAACACGCCTTTCTGCTTCGAAATCACTTGATAGAAGATACAAGAAACAGTGCAATATGTACGTGAAGTACACCTATATATCCTCACTCTCTTTACTCATTCCCCGCGTTTCGCGTAGCTGATACGAGTCTGACCGCACCTCCAGTTGAAGAGGGGACTGGTTACTGGAATCGTCAATCGTGGTATATGTTTCTGATGACGAAGAGACCGGGAATGAACCGCTGGAATGGTACAGAGAACCTGGGGCGCGGCGCTATTCCGGGTGACTAGATAGTGATAGTGAGCGCTTGAGCGAGGGGCATGGATATTTTCAGACTTCCGAAGGAGGTTAAGGTTATCTGCTGGATCGAGATCGATTAGCGTCTCAGTTATATTTAACGTCAGGGCTCACCATTTCATCTTACACCACGTTAATCCTTCTCGCCTCTGCGTTGCGGGGTTGTCTCTAGTTTTACGGTCGAGTCGTACTGTCAATTCTTTTTTGTCTTCATTGAATCGGGCCAAACCCGGTGAAGGGAGCCGAATGAGTTAAAGCTCACGTCAACACATCAATGTCGATGAAGGATTGGCTGAAACCAACGGGCTGACGCTCCGTCGACGGCGTCAGTCATGTGATCGCGCGTCTCTTCTCACGCTTGCTAATTCCCTTCGGTCTTCTGATTTTCCTCTTCATTCCCAAGTGCTCCAGCCTCCTACTCGTTCCATGTCCTACGAATACGAGACGGATCACCTGGGATCCGACGATGTACGTATTCACTGATAAACCACCTTCGGATTCGACACTGTTAGCCCAATACTTAGCAGCTGCTTAGTTTGAGGCTTTCCTTGAGAAGACGAGATCTGATGATATTGGGAGTAGCCAACTTATGCGGGGCGTAGGTACGATCTATAGGGGACCCAGTCAAGGGGACGATGAAGAGGATATTATGGTCATCGAGGAGCACGCACACAGCAATGGTAGATCTTCTGCGCGGCCAGGCCCTTCAAAGCCACAAGCATCGACGCACGTCAGCACATTGAATCAGAAATATATACGGCATGATGCCGCTGCCTCGACTTCCAATTCCAAACAGAATGAGAGCTACCTCGATCGCCGGAAAGACCTACAAAAGCGCATTGCAGGCATTGAGTCGGAGATCCAGTCCTACGACGAGGAGCTGCGGAAGATCCAAGACGTGCGGGCGCTAAGGATGCTGGAGAAGGGGGAGTTGGAGAATCAGCTCGAGGCGCTGAGACAGCAGAATATCCTTGGAGTCGGTGGAAATCTTCAAGGTAAGTATTCATTCGTATTCTCTGAGCCCTAAGGTGGAGGGCCTTTCTCATTCAAGCCACGTTCTTCCTCGCGTCCATCAGGCAAGGGGAAGCAGCTGCTGAAGGGTGTACTCGACTATGGATCTGATGATTTCCAATGGGTGCCGCAGCTAAAGACGAAGTTGCAGAAAGTGTTCGGGATACAGAATTTCCGGTTATGCCAGCAAGGGTACGTCCCTCATCCATCCCTTTCTCGCTTGACAACAGCCCTTGAATGTAATGTCAATGATGACAGTGCCTGCAACGCGAATGTCGACGGCCGGGACGTTGTCTGTATCATGCCTACCGGCGGCGGCAAGTCGTTGACATACCAACTGCCCGCCCTCCTCATAACTGGGTGCACGATCGTAATCTCGCCGCTCATAGCGCTGATCATGGACCAGGTACATCATCTACGCGAAGCTGGTGGTGAGTCTCTACATCCGTTTGTGCTTCCGTGGCCGACTTTGAACCCAAACCATAGTCGAAGCGTCGATGCTGACAGGCGCGACCTCTAAAGACGAAACTAACACCATATACGCGCGACTTCGGGCTATGGCCGACGGCGAGGTTCCCAGCAGCAGAGAAATAAAGCTGCTCTACGTTACAGTGAGCTTCACTTTTCATTCGTTGCCACTTCTGGCAGGCTATGGTATACAAGTACGGGTCTAATCCCCGCATTCCGGCAGCCTGAACGCGTAGCCAAAGCAAAGCGATTTATGTCGATTTTGGATAAACTCTATGCCGGAGATAGACTTGGTGCGTTCCGTTTCTTACTGCCTCCCTGCACATGGCTTGCTATATCACTAAGATGCTCATGTATGTAGCACGGTTCGTAATTGACGAAGCACACTGCGTCTCGCAGATGGGGCACAGTTTCAGGTACGCGACCCTTCTTCTCCTTCTCCCTTTCCTTACCAACGAAGTCTACGACACGCAGACCTGACTACCGCAGCCTCCACGTCCTCAAGCAAATGTACCCTCGCGTACCTATTATGGCGCTCTCTGCCACCTGTCCGCCCAGGGTGCTCGAAGACGTGTTGAAGATATTGAAGATGAAACCTATTGTCGACGGACGAGGTGGGTCTCCTTACCTCCTTCTCTCCTTCCGTCGTCTTACTCCTTTGCTACCCCGCGCAGCCGCGCATATGAATGAAGGGACTGTGTACTTCACCGCACCGCTCTACCGGAAGAATCTGAACTACAAAGTCTTGTCCAAACCTTCGTCATCAGCGGGTGCCTTGAAAGTGATGGTCGAGTACATTCTTGCCGAGCATAAGGACGAATCTGGCATAGTTTATTGTTTAACAAAGAAGGTAGGTGCATCGTTGTTTGAGGCGACTTTCTTTTTTGTGCTTATTGCGATTCTTCTAGGACACGGAAGAGGTTGCAAAAGGCCTTTCGGAGAATGGGATCAAGAGCGGGGTATATCACGCCGACGTAGCTGATGTAGACAAAGAAGCGTTGCATCGACGCTGGAGGGACGGGAAAGTGAAGGTTGTTTGTGCGACTATCGGTAAGCTCCCTTCCGTGTCTTAGGCTCCTCATCTCGTACACACCGTCTGGATCCTAATCTGATGTCTTTTCGCAGCGTTTGGGCTTGGAATTGATAAGGGAGATGTCCGTTTTGTGTTGCACCATTCAGTATGTCCACCTCCGTTCTTCTTTATCCCTCATCGCAACTGACTGGACATTCCTATACTCTCCGGTTCGTAGATATCGGTACGCAGCTCTCTCTTCATCAGGCCTAGTACATATTCATACCTATATTTATTCGGTGTCTAGAAAACGTTGGAGGCTTACTATCAAGAATCTGGACGAGCGGGGAGAGATGGCAAGGATGCCGATTGCGTTATGTTCTACCGACCGCAAGATGCGATGAGGCTGAGTTCTATGGTTTGCACCGATGTGGATGGTCAGACGAAACGTAAGTTGTCCCTCTGGCACACCGAACACTACTGATTCTCATCGTTCGTAGTGTACAACATACTCCAATTTGCTCAAAGCATCACTGAATGTCGGAAGGTTATATTTGCAAAGTAAGTTTCTTCGCTAACTGGAGATCTCAGCACTGACTCCCTCCTAGATGTTTTTCTCACACGTCACAACTCTCGATGTCGTCCTGGGCGACAGAGGACAAAGACGCCCTCACTCCATGCGGACACTGTGACAATTGTGCGCGGGCAGAACGGGAAGACAGTTTCGAGCAGATGGACGTCACCGTGCAAGCATGGCAAATCTTGAAAGTCGTAGATGAGGTTGGCAGAAACGGTGGGAGGGTCACAATGAGCAATCTCGTTGACTTGGCCCGGGGCACTGGAAAGGCGACCTATGATATACAAGCTGGGGGGAAAAGACGAGGGAAAGGCAAGGGCAAGGAGCAAGGGGATATTGATTTGGGTGCCGTCGCTGATGGCAAGGTTGACCTGAGCAAAGAAGTAACTTCCCCTTTCCCCGTCTTCTCCAACCTCAAGAGCTGATGTAGACTTTCCTTTTCGTCAGCAAACCGAATATCTCATCATCGAGTTGTTGGTAACTGGATATCTAACCGAAGACTATCACAGCACAGCATATCAGACGAACGTGTACCTGAAGGCGGGGGCACGGGCGATTCGGTTGACGCGGATGACGAAAGAGCGGTTGGATACGCTGACGGTGGATCGGATTGTATGTTCGTTCGTTAAACACGCAGCGAAGCGAAGTCGGAAGTCGAAGGCGGGGAACGGGGATGGGAATGCCGAGGCGTCGACTTCTAAAGCGAAGGGAACGAGGGTTGGGAAGAGGAAACACTTAGATGAAGAGGAAGAGGGGGAAGACCTGGCCGGTCCTCTCATGGAAGTTGTTGAAGACGACTCATCGGAGGAAGACATCATTCAGCCGCCACCGCTACCGAAACGGAAGCCACCAGCTCCCCGCATTAAACCACCACGAGCAGCTTTAACTGTCATCCGTAGCGATGATGAAGATGAAGGCGGGGATAGCGCTGGTTGGAGTTACAGCATGCGACAACCTGACGAAGACTCGCCACCTGCGAAACGCCCAAGACGTGGGGCGGCAAAACCTATATAGTATGTCTTATAGGCGCTTTCATGTCGAAAGTTGTACTGAAAATTATCTAGTATTGTAGACGATATAGTTGAGCTGTCATCGGATTGAGAAGATTGGGCGCATGATCATGGACGTGTATTACATAGCAATTGCAACTCGGTGTACTGATAGAATCTACTTTGACTTCACAAAGGCAACAAGGCATGAAGACTGACACCGTAAATAGTTCTCGCTCTGCCGATGTCTTACAGAACGAAAGCCAGATCTATCAACGGACAGAACGCCTACCAGTGTTGCCAGGTAGGCCGCCTAGCCGGCCGATGGAGTTTACCCAACCTTAGGTTGCGCCCCTAGTGACCTTGTTTGCGTATGTTGGCATATCTGGGGTTGGAACCGCTCGATGCTTTGTAGGTGTCATTATTTCAAGGATCCGGCGCGCTCTTACTCAAACCTGATAGCCCAGCAATCCCCTCGATGGACGACAAAGTCAAACGATCCCGACCGCGCTTCCGCTACATACGAGATAATGTACGTCGTTTCCGAAGGGAAACTATGCCGCCATGCCAACTTGATTCCGTCAGTCAACAATTTGCTCGTGGTGGAGACCGCTCTGGTCGTCCTAGAGTGCCAAATCGGGTACATTTTCCATGGGAGGGAGCATCATACCCTCTGCTACCGTGTAGCCCGCCGATACCTCGTTTGTAAGCTACCTTCTGCTCGGACTTTTATAGCTCTGCAGACGCTGTAGTGCGGCGATGAAACCGTCAGTGTAATTTGTACGCGAAAATGGCCCTTCGAGCTCGAAGGCGACCAACGATACTTACTTCGAAACGTAAAAGTAGCACTATGAAATGGGGCTCGCGGAGCAGGATCTGCGAAGAGTGAGTAGTTTTCAGTTCGCGTGCCATTGGCGCTCATGTTCGATGCGAAGTGACGTACCGCAAGAGAATGGAACCAAGAAAACGAAACCCACATTCGGCAAAAACGTATATAAATCTGCTAAATCATGGATCTCTCAACAACGCGTCCCTTCCCGACTTCTGCTAGTACTCAATGGCGCTCGTTAATAATGACTCCTTCCTTCAGAAGAACGTACGTTGATTGCCCATCGCTCACACATGATCGTCGCTTTACTTGAAATTCCTAGAAACTGAAAGAGGTCCGTGTCAGTTTGCGAATATGACATGGCTGCCAAGGACATGTACGTATCGCTGCTTGCAGTTCCTTCAGCTTATCTACAACTCAATAACCTCGACATACAGGAATGCCCCTGGCTTCTCAATGCCAACAATTACTCCTACATTCGTACTTGGGGTGAACCTGAGAGTTCATGAATCACCTAGAGTCTTCTAGACTTCAATGTCTGATCTCGCCTTCCTGGCAGGCTTTTGGCGAAGCTGAGACTCTTGGCCAAGTTCAGACCGGTTTCCGACTGGCTCCTGCGACGTCGGTTCAGGCAGCCCTAGGCTCCTTTAGACTCTCACAATATGAATCGGAGGTGAAGTCCACGCATATTAAGTTCCCAAAGCCGTGAATGAGCATTCGCAGGGATAACGGGGGAGTCCCCATGGACAATTTTGTAGCGTTGGCCCGTTGGGGGCGAAGATGGCGGGAGGAGACAGCGTAAAGGGTAGGTGCAGAAACTAGGGTCATTAATCCCAACCAGGACAGATGTTAAATCCCGTTTTCATCGACAGATTGAATATCTCATTCGCTGAATGATATGTAGGGGGGCGTCTTCGTGATCAAGGTTGAGGCGTTCTGGCGGAACGGTTGGCTGCGTCGGCCTTGGTTCGACTTTTGTGCTCATGTGTTAACATGGCATCAGGATTCGAGTTGGAGTCCCGTTCCTCATCTGCACATTGCGCCGCTCGGAAACCAGAAGGTATCCACAGCGAACGAAAGAGCAGATTAGGCAGAACGGTGGCAAGAATACTTCACTCACGTGCTGTTGCCTAGTGCACCCTCGCGTTCGATACAACAGCCACAACATAATGTTCAACCACAATCCCCACAACGTCTTCGCCGTAATGCCGCTAGACAAGCTCGCTCCGGAAATTCTACTCTCTGTGGTTTCATTCTTACCGAGTAAAGATGCTCGTGTGCTTTCCCGCACCTGCCGCAAGCTCCATGCTATCTGCGAGATCCAGCTTTATGCCAGTGTCAACTTCGAACTGAAGGATTCCTCGGACTCATCTACGGACAAACGACTCGTCCGTTTCTTTGGGAGCCTGATGGCGAGGAAGGAGAGGTGCACCTACGTCCGAAACTTATCGCTTGATTTTGGCCGGACGTTCACTAGCAGGGATCATGCTTTGGTCTCTGCAATCGTCGAGGCCCTCCCTTGCCTCCACACTTTCATATTCAGTTATTCCAACGTCGACTTTTCCGACGATGATATCTTCAAGCTTCCTCAACTGACGAGGTCACGTCGCGCTATCGTCAAGTCTTCCTTGCGAACTCTGAAGGCCACTATCCTTTCTGGTCGCCAGAAACGTTCTCCTTCCCATAACACCATCGCTATGCGTCGCCCCTTTGAGGAACGATCCTCTCTATTAAACCTCACTTGGCTTAATAGAAACCTCTCCGAAGGCCCATTCTTTCTCTCCTTCGTCCGTTTACATTCCAATATTCGGTTCTTGCATCTCGAACACGCCACGAACTTCCCTAAAATGGACGCGAGCATTCTACCTAATTTAGAAAGTGTTAGAGCGTCTATCCGTGTTGTGCTCGCATTGCTCCCTGGAAGGAGGATTCAGAGGGTAAACACATGGATCTATACCGGGGTTGGCGACATGTGGGACGAATATTTGAACGATACAAGTGGTAATGTCTTCAGGGAAGATGGTCTTGATGCTATCAAGGTGTTTACGTGCCAGGATGTCGGCGATGGCGCCCCTGGAGGATTCCTGCCGTTTCTTATCGAAAAGATGAAGAATCTTGAAGTGTTAGACACAATGGTGAGTACTAAACGTCATCATGTGGCATCTCTGTGATTTAATTCTATGCCGTCTACCAGGGCGGTCTCCCAGTTGAAATCCCCACTCTCCGCAAAACGAAGGTCCAACTGCTACGACTCCATCACAGCGCCGATAGATCCCAAGCACTGAATCTCTTCCAAGCAGTCAAGACGCTCCAATGTATCGAGTGGTTGGCTATCAACATCGTTGATGATGGCGGTCCGGGTTTGTTGATTCTGTACACAGCGTCCAGATTGTATAGGAACGGAAAATGGACCCCGCATGTTCAGTGGAAGTGCGAGCCTGGGGATGAGTGGTTTTCGGATTGGAAGGATGTATTTTGGGAGTAATCGTGCGCGCAGGGCGGGCTAGAGCTCGGCCAGTTTTACAATCATCATTTATGTCCTGTGCTTCTAGACATGTTTTCATTTGTACTTATTCATAAGCATGACAACAACAGCTATCAATTACAATGGGTCATCGCAGACGTTCCTAACAGACATGGTTGCTTGTAGGTTCCACTTTCAATCGTCATGTCTAGTACCCAATTGCTGAATATTGAATCTCGGTTACGTAACATCATGAAGCACGCCGTGCACGGATTGATACTTTCACCCTGGGATCGATGAAAATAATATTCAAGTAAACGGATTATTATTTAATTACTTTCACTTACAATATTTTACACTGCCACATTCAATAATATGCCCGAAAGTAAGCTTAAAGTCCCAAAGACTTAACAAACTAATATCTGTAATCAATAGTTTTTTTTCTTATACTTACTTGTTGCTAACTTTTAGAATATTTTCGGGTGAAGTAATGAACGAGGCGAGGCTCAATACTTCAAGTAGAACTAGTAAAGTAGTAATGAATCAGTAATATATAAACAAAGAACCTTTCAATACTCCAAAATGCTAAGTAACGATAAAGTAACGATGAAGTATAAGTTATAAAAAGTACGAGGAAAGTATTAATCATGGATACTTTGTCAGAAAGTACACATAAAGTATCAATCATGGATACTTGGTCAGAAAGTACACATAAAGTATGAATCAGGCATACTGAGTGACGCGCCTCCGACCATCCCGTCTATACGTGAACTCGCAGTGGGATAGCACATGGAGGGTCGTGTCTGATATGCGCAGGAGATTAGCAAACGCAGGCGTAGCCGTAGACACGGGAACTTACCAGGCCGGGAGCGAGATGAGAGAGGCGCGTGGCAGTGGATCGTAGACGTGACACGTCTGAGGCGTCGTCTGAGGCGTCGTCTCCCGTCAGTTGCGAATGCGTGCACCAGACCCGCTGACACGCAACGCTGCCACACGCAACAAGGGCACACTCAAGACGCCGCGGCGCAACCCAGACGAACGGCTGTTACCATGAACGGAGGCGAGTTCCTGAATCGCGTTCGTCTGCCCTCCCTGACAGCCAATTCAACTTTCTGTTCGTGGGTTAGCGACAAATTCCGCGAAGCGCGAGGGTGAGGCATTCATATGGGCGTATTCCCAAGATAGCGCTTTGGTGAAATTCGATGTAGATGCGACGACAAACATGATAGAGAACACTGGAGACAAGTCAGCTGGAGTGTTTGGCAGCCAGGAAGGGGACTTACAAGTACACAAGACCGTATCGGGTAGATACAACAATGACGTTTGGACATGCAACTAGTGATATATGTCACTGGAGACGAATTAGCTGGAAAGACTTGGATTTCTGCAAGGGACTTACAAACACACAACAGCCGTCTCTGCTCGAATACACGCCCCAGTGCCAAAGATCGTATGACGCTGGAAAGTGTACTGATCGTCTACATAAACGTGCGCCGTCAAAACGCCCATTCCGCGACGGTAGCCTCGGATGGTGATGTGTTGGGACTCTGCGTCGTGCTCGCTCTGGTGGCGCGCGTTTCTGTGTACTGTTTAAGCACTGTAAGCGTTGAGATAGCGAAAAACTGCTCACACTATGATCCAACTATCCAGGCGTTTAACTGGGTATCAAAGAATATCCGACATTAACTGCATTATAACCTTGGAAATCAACCATCTCTTCACCACCTTGATCATCCGCCGTCGAGTGGCGTGTTTTGTCGAAAGCAGTTCACGTATAATGCGAAGTTCTGTCATATCGTAGTGGAGGACGTTCCGTTAACGATCGGTGGCTGTGCAGTCGTTCCTCATCCATCACTAGCGCCAATGCACGCTCACGATGATCAAAACGAACGGCGAACCAACGATGTCTCGTGGGCCTTTCGTCTTCGGCCGCGATTCCCTATTCGATCGGCCCCTCCCCCCAACAAAGCCACCGGAAATCGTAGAGGTTGACGCTGGGGTGGACACCGAACTGATGTTGAAGTTGATGTTGGTGAGTCGCTATACTGTTGCTCCTCCTCCTTCTACCACCTCGCCGCCACTAACGACACAAACACGCCTCCTCCTTTGCGTAGACGTTGACGAAGTATAGAATCGGGAACGTTGGGGGCGTCCGCGTTCTGGTTATGGATGATACTGTAAGATGGAGGAGTTGGTCGCATCATCTGGATGAGTACCGAGGCACCCTATCTGATCAATCGTCACCGTGGTCGCATCCCCTAGTGCCCCAGTTCCCCTCGCATAACCCTGAAGACGCGCGTCGAAGCGTCGTGGTTCAGCCTCCTATGGTCGCTCCCAAATTATTGCTTCGACAAGGCGTTACCGATGTCGACCAGTACTAAGCCTTTGAGATCAGTCAACATCGGTTTGGTTCTTGCTCAAGGAAGCTGGCGACCAGGCTCGGCAACTGAGCCGCCAGCGGCGGCATCAATTTCTATTACTTTGACCCCAACAAGTCTTAAAGTAAGCAACGCAGCGCTCATTCCCCTACATTGGTTCGCCTCCGTTCCCTTGATAGTAAGTCTACATTCCTGTAACCTACTTCACATGTCTATCAGAAACATGGCGACCCGCTTGAGGGGTAACTTTATGCACCTCATGTTGCGAGCAGCGCCGCTCACTGGACACGTCGGCGAACGCACCCCATCCGCTCGATATTCAAGCAGAACTTGCTAACGACAGTGCACTGGGCCATGATGTTCGGCGACTACGAACGATCCAGGATTTTCAGGCAAGCGGCCAACCAGGGAGAGACGGAACGTGCTGACCACGGCTTCAAAGCTCTATCAACATGACCTTGTAAGGGTTGTACCGATGTGCCCAAAGACTGCCTACCGACTCAAGCACCAAGCTACGCGTCAACAGCCTGCGCATCTTCTAGTTGTATGTGAGCACGAGCAACAAACGGGAGACGAGGATGGACCCACCTAACTGAAGAAGAGAATGTGAGGTTATGGAGAGCGGAGGAGGGAGTGCGCACAAGGTACATCAGCCGTATCCGCTTGCCGTATCCGCTTTGACTCGAGGAATTGGAACACAGCAGGATGGACCGGCCCACGAAAAACCGACGTCCTTCCCAACGCTCGAACAAGTGGTTATGGTCAGACGCAAAGGCGACTGACTGAGGTCAGCTGGGACCATGACGAGAGACTCGGTGTGCGCATCAATCCACGATCGCTATGACTGTGATAAAGGACACGAAGGTGAGAACCAGAGGATGGGAATGCTCAGAGCTCACCAAGACACCGACACATCCATCACGGCACGCCACGTCCACTGGCAAACGAGATCGGGGGAAAAGCAACCAGACTACGGCGGAACCAGCTTGCCCGGTCCAATGTCGAGTCGGTTCACGTTGGCAGGACGTGTGGAACGCGTCGATGTGGCGTGGCGTACGCATCTCGGGCGTGGTTTGAACGGCGGTGAGCGCTGGCGCTGGCAGTCATGGCGTGGAAACGGGAGATCAAAAGGATGTACATGACCCGCGTGCAGAGAGCGCAGGTACCTCCGCGGGCAAGCCGGCTCGAAATGAAAGGGCCCATTTACGGACGCCGCCCGTGCCAAGGAAAGGAGCGGAGGGTCCTCCCTTTGGGCGAACGGGCAAGGAGAGATTTAATCCAACAATGGATTGATCAAGGGAAAGACGTACATGAAAGCGCAGGCTGAAAGAGACGAGATCGACGTCCGAGCGAACGGTCACAATCAGAGCCACTGGTGTGCACGCGTCCAACTTTAAAAAGAGAGCGTTCGACACATCCCCCCAGCAATACTTTCTACGCCCACATCAACTCATCCATCGATGGCAGCTTGTCTAAAGAAGAGTTGTAAGAACGAAGATGAAGCAGTACGCCGATAACATTCATCATGTGCAATGCAACTAACCTTTAGCAGCTTCTCAGCGAGATGAAGAAAGCATTGACATGCGGAATATGCGATGAAATCATGGAAGGACCCTGCATGTGTGTAGCCTTGATTGTCGCATTTACATAACACTGACCACGATGTTTTAGGTTGCCGTGCGGGCACATTTTCTGCGAAGAATGTCTAGTGGCAAAGTTTCGCGAGAAAATCATCAACGTACTCTCCGGGATGGATATGCTCTACATTCTTGACCGGATTGGCGGCGACGCCAAAACATTTACCGCCTATACGGAGTTGAAGAAGAGCATGTATTGGGAAGAGGCAGACAAGGTCTTCTTGCAAACGTGTCCAGATTGCGGGCAAGAGGTCGGATCCTGCCCAGCACCAGTTTGGCCAATGCGCTTCATAATAGGGAGGTTGGGTTGGGAGAACCTCATCGAAAGACGTAAGGTAACCTTACCATGCTCTTTGGCCAGTCTCTTCGGTCCTTGTCACTACGAAGCTTAGCATGATTGTCGAACTGTAGCCTAGAAAATGGACGTCACTATCTATTCAAAAAAGTAGGGACAGCAAAAAAAGAAGGAAAAAAAATACCTTCGATAGTTTCCGAACAAGGATCGATGGTAAGACCCAACGACACGCAAGGATTACCGGAATCCAGCACGATACGATGGTCTCGAAGGACTACCAGAGTCCAACAAGTAGCGAGGGATACCAGATACCAGCGCGATATTCGAATACAGGCAAGAGAGTGGCAATGAGCTGGAGCTTGAGGAACAGTGGAACAAAGGAGAGGGATGAAAAGAGAGGGTGGGAAACCAGCATGAATTGTGAGTCAGCGGATATCATGGATCAACAAGTAACAAACATTAACACACAATTCGCTCCAAATTGGGCGGTTGATGCACTTCATCTCCATACTAAGGTAGAATTTGGATAGAATGTCATTGTACAAAGTTATGGGATACATATATCGCTGGGAATTGAACACGACAGCTCGACAACTCAGGCAGCGTGACTCACTGCTTTTGATCTGAAACGGCGACGGTCTCGCGCGGACTACAAGGACTGGAGTCGAGACTAGCTGAGATGGTTTATTACAAGGGTAGACTATGACAGAAATATTGCGAGACATGACAACGAGCACAGTAACTCATGCAGCACGACTCACTGCTGTTGATGCCCTGACCTCTGGCAACGGGCGTTAGGAAAATGGGCTCGGCAGGCGAAACAAACGTACTAAGCATCCAAACTTTCCGAGATCGTTTGCCTTTCGTCTCTAGCACACCCGAGGGAATGAAGAGTTTTCGCACACCTCCTCCCCTCATACCTTCCAAGTAACGGCTAACTCCTACGACTGAGGTTTGAGCGCGAGGGAAAAGCTAAGGAACGATATTAATTACACACCGAAAAGCGCTGCTTCGTCACCGATCTTCACCGTAGTCTATGCTCCACGGTAAAATGGGAGGGATTCGAAAAAGTCCCTACTTACAAGGGTTATGGCCTCGCGTCTGATAGTATACGTCCCGTCTTGGTTCTGAACCGAAAGAACGTATTGAACGTCGACCTCATCGCCGTGCTGGATGACAAGGCCAGTACCTTCTTGTTCGTCTTTGTGTGTGGGTGCGTCTGCGTGACCTTCTTTCGCCTGCTCTTTCTTGTGTCGTTTTGGAGATTCGGGGAGGTCTGCGTTGGCGACGGCCCTCTTCTTCGGATTAGGGGACTCCGGAATCGTCGTTGGAGGGTTGCTCGTTGGAGCCTTGGTTTGCGCTCGAGGGGTCTCTAGTTTGACGGTCGCCGCAAGCGTCTTGACAGGTGAACTCGTCGACTCTGCACGGTCGACCTTGGGTTTGCTCGTTGGAGCCTTCTTTCGTGTTTGGGAAGGTTGAACGGTCTCTAGCTTGACAGGCACGGCGAGCGTCTTGACAGGCGATGATGGCTTGCTTCGCATTGGCGTAGATTGCCCTCCGTGTGCAGGGACTTCGTCGTCCTCCTCTTCGGTTTCTTCGTCCTCCTCTTCGGTTTCTTCGTCCTCCTCTTCGGAAACTTCTTCAATCTCTTTGACTTCCTCTTCGTGAGATTCTTCGTCCTCCTCTTCAGAACACCCCTCTTCCTCATTCAATGGAGTTGTTTGAGTTGGGTCACTCAGCTCCCCCACACCTACATATTTCGGCCACTGACCAGGCCCTCCGCGGACGGCAGGCTCATCAGAGTCAACGACTTCAAGGGAATGAGACGCGTGTAGCAATTGGTGAGAGACGTTAGACATTCACATACCTAATTTACTGCCAGCAAAGCAAATGTCACTGGCGAGTCCGATCTCGATAAGATGACAGCTGTAGGAGTAACGGATGACTTACGCCGATCCCGAAATTGAGATGGTGTATTGGTTATAGGCAAAGAAAGGTAGATACACCTGAATGTGCTCTGTCTGGCGCTCATCAGTAGGTTGGGTAGACGATTGGGAAAGAATCACCTTGCCACCCTCGAGGGCACCAAAGTGGCAGACACACTTATTACCTGAGTCATCTGTATAGTGGACTTCTACATATGACCTCTCCGAAGCCTGGTCGCCGGCGAGCGCGACATGGGTGAGCAGCACAGACTCGTTAGCAAGCAAGTGGCTCCTGTTGCCGGAGTAAACTCTAGACCTAGAAATGATTAGGATGACGCATAAATTACCCAGATGAACAGGTTTCACCAAAGCGAGTCTTCGACGTAGCACACAGTCATTGTGGCGGATGGTAGGAGTGGAGGGATGGTGGTCGCACAAAGGACAAAGGGCCTGGTCATGCTGGGGGGAGGCATAGATTCACGTGATCATTATACAGGAGTTTAGGAGACTTCTATACTGTACACCCCTAAATAATATAGACATGTTGTGCTTGAACCATTATTGTTCACTTCAAAAATGACCAGAGATGTTTGTATCGTGGCAGAATCAGGATCCATGGCAAAGAACTGGTGATGCGACGAATCGATGTCGAAAACGAACCCTCCAAGCTTGACGAACCTATCGGTGTAGTGCATACCAGGAGGGTTCCGGTGATTCGCTGTAAAAAGGGACGGCGCGTGGGACTCGGTAAAATGCTGAGCAGTCGTGTTGTCGGCCAGGCCCCACATGGTTACTCTGCGCGGCGCACGGCCTACAGCAACCTGCAATTCCACCGTGCTTGCGTTTAGCGTTCGAGTGGCAACAAATGAACGCAATCTTCAGTGATACCGAAGGGAGCGGCATCTACATATGAGAATGCTGCATGGCAAACAACATCCTGAAGCCGTATAAGGACTTCTAGTGCGAAGCGCTTGTAGAACAACATCCCAGAAGTAGGGAATTGTCGGAAAGGGTCCAGGGAGGAGTGGTCGTCGCTCAATGGTGAGAATGGTGCGACGAGGAGGAAAGTATCAGTAATTTGTGATCCGTCACTTCTTCTGCGGGTGTGTTGAAGGATAGCTCGAATTTGACCGGCACACCTTCTTCGGGAGTCGTTGAAGATCATATGACAGTCCTTCTTAGAGCAAGAGAGAGGCCGATACACCCCATCAAGGCGCCTGACTCGTTGCATAGGGATGAAATTGTTAGGAATGTGACCACCGGCCATTTTTGAGTCAATTCTCGCTATACGCGCCTTCAGTAGCGTGTATACCGAGTCCTGGAGCAAGGCACTTCGCTTCGGCGCCACATCTCCTGGGTCTTGAGTGGACGGATCGTCAAAACCCAACTTGTCCTGCATGAAAGTTGATCGAATATCAGCGTCATGTTGAACAGACAAGGAGTTGATAAACGATTCGAGTTCAGGAGGCATTTGGGGAGCGGTTTGAAATAATGCCCGCAGCCGTTGCCCTTGCGTAAAGTGGCGAAATAGAGTGCCCTCAAGTTCACCTGAATTGAGTAGGAGTGATCGGTCACAAGTCCGTCGTAAAAGTGGAGTATTCGCACCAAATTTAGAATTGGTCATGATTTTTTGTATCATGCCATTAAACCGTTCAAACGCAAAGCAGCGCCACGAATGTACTGGTCCCCATCGCCTGAGATGTTCTCCAAAGTGAAGAGATATGTGCTGATTCGGTACAATCTTTATACCAGGGTAAAGAGAAAGGAGCGAGGTGAGGTAGGCGTGCATGTGAAACTCGTAGGCACGGACATCCGCGTTGGATAGCTCGCGAAATGAGGCAATCCTGACAGCTTGGACAAGATGCAGAAAATTTTTGAGCATGCGTCGTTCGTGAGTTGTAGCCGAACGCCCTGACCAGAGACGTGTCAGTGTGATAGGAAGGTTAACGGTGCAAAATGTCCTCCATTCGTCGGCTTTCAAGCGCCCTCCGGCTGCCTCTCCAGGCTGGTGTGGCCCTCTACCAACACAGGACGGAAGTAACAAGCGAGCCATATCTGCTTTAACCTCACTTAAGGTCTGCTTTCCTAGAACAGCGGTTTTCTTACGCTTGGTGAGGGCGGCGTCGCGGGGGTCTGGGACGATTAATAACTCCTTGGAATTGATTATACGCGCGCGTTTGCGCTGTGAAGAAATATCAGCCATACAGATCGGTTGCGCTATGGAGTCTACGCACGTCCTCCTGTATCCAATTGACCAGCGTTCCTAGATCGGCTTCGGCGAGGTCTTCGGGGGGGAGCTTGAGTATACCTCTGCAGATCTCCACAGCGACGCTGAGCTTCATATGGAAGCGCATGACTTCTCTAGATCCTTCTCTGTAAAGGCGTTGTGCTTCTGATTGGGGAGATAGTAGGCACTTCTTTTCCGTGGCGTCGGCCCACCCCATCTGAATGCGCTGGGGATCTGTTAACTTCTGGTCCCGAAAGATGAGAAATATACGAACATATGCCCTTAAGCTGGTGCTAAGAACGTCGATGGTGAGCTTCGTGTTATGAGGTAAACCAACTTCTCGACAGAGCTGGCTTAGAACGCTGAGGCCAAGTGCTTTTAGTGCGCTTTTGGGTCCTGTTCGCAAGAGGTGGCGACCTATGGCCATTTTCTCCTTGGAAGGAGGCTTGGCGAGGGGATCAAAAACGAGGCCAGCTCCATCCTTTGCAGATATGTCGAGACCCCAGACCTCACGGCAATGGCGTTGAAACAGCCCAAGATAGAAAGCATGCATGGAATCAACGACGACATGCTGAGAGGGATCCCAATAAGGCAGTCGAAAAAACTCGGACCATTGAACACCGTGCTTCTTGAGCAATTCGACTTGAAGCTTCTTCGTTGCAGCATCCCTCCATTGTCTCCCAAGCGTCTTCAAGGTCTCCCCGTCGTAGAAAGGCCAAGTATGATAATCCAAGTTCTGCATGTCGCTTGAACGGATGTTGCATTGTAGGCATGGCTTGCCACTAGTGTGCAATGAGGCTCCGGCTATTTGATGGGCCGCGGGCAAGTCACAAACGACTGGAACCATAGCGCAGCGAACGCGAACGCCTTGAGGGTGCAAGGGAGTTCTGCTTAAGAAGATGCCTTCGTTCCACAGAACGAGTAGGTCGTCGACGAGCGGAGAGAGGAAAGGGTTGATCTCTTCCTCGGAGGGCGAACTGGGACCAGGGATAACGCCTACGAAGAAAATGTTTTCGGGGTGAAAGCGAATGGAGCGCGGAAGGTTCAAGCATGCCATGTACATCCCTCCGACCTTGGCAACTTTACCCGCGGGGCGAGTGCATCCTGGATTGAGATTGTCGAAATTGAAACTGAAAACTAGGCGACGTTCGTTTGGTAGCTGCACCATGAAACGCCCGTCCCCTGATGGGCCATGAAGATCGCGAAGGATTGAACCGTCCCAAATGTCTTTCATCGTGGCGTCGGAATGGTGATTGCCAGCGAGAGGGAACTTGTCCAAGTGGGGTGCAATGTCGGACCTGCAGAACATCCAAGCTAGCCAATGCTTGAAATCTTGGTATAGGAATTCATGCTCCGGAAGGAATTTCTTCGTCTCGTCCTCCTGTTTCTGTTTTCGCATGTACGGCTCCTCAACATGCGCCCTCTCCCTCTCCCCCTTTCTCAGGGGGCAGTTACATTCTTTCGCGTCTGGGGTGGCGCGATACGTACATCTCTCCGGGAAAGTCGTTCCAGCGTTCCGATCGAAGGGGTAAATACAGTAACATTCAGAGCAGCAAGCGTATGATTTAGACGGAGGACTCAGGTATGGCATGGCGTTCATGACCGTACGGACATCTTTAGGGAGCTCCGTCGCCAATTTCATCAAATCCGGGTCCCCTCCCTTGGTGGCAGCGATCTTGACAATGCTCCGAACGCCTTTCAGAACATCCCCCACTTTCAACATGGAAAGCCCGCTGAGTAAGTGTAATGACGCAGCGAGCAAGAAAGTGATCATCAAAATGGGATTCCAGGCGAGTCGGGGGGAGAGGAGGACAGCTATGGTAAGGGGTCAAATGCTTGAAATATAGCCATCCGAGAAATAGACTTACATGTGTCAATAACATTCTTGAGCTTGTCTTGGTCCAGCTCATGTTGATGCTTCATCCAGCGCCGCTTCCAACCGTCAATGTCGATGAACGATCGCTCAATTGCACGAAGCACCAGAGTAGAACGTAGGCTCGACGCGTGAGTCTTTCGACGGAGAGGATGGTGCTGAACGAAATTCCGTACTTGAGGAAGCCACGTTTCATATTGGAGGAGGGGAGAGTTCTCAGGTGCCGATGGATCAAGCTCAAGTTGAGAAGGAGCATGTGACGGCGGAGCTGTGGCTTTGAAAACAGGGCGAAGACTGAGCGCAACATCGTTAATTTGTTCAACGCGGGTCTGAAAGGAGCGAAGCTGCGAACAATACGCTTCTAACTCCTCGTTGCAGTAGATTTTGGGCGCTTTAGCACGCCTAACATGTCGCGGTCGGTCGTCTTTCTTGTCCGTTTGAGCGCAGTTCTCGACAATCCCTGGGGCACAATCGACGGCCTGTTGCCAGCACACAGCAAGTCCCGATTCCATGACGGATAGTTGGTGTTTGGAGTACTGTGCATAAGCCAAATATCGTCCCCGAACGAGATCCGCGACGGTTCCAGGAACAATGGTTTCATGACTTTCGCAGTCCCAACATTTACAGAGGTACAGCTCGCCACAGATGGGCGCGGGGCGGTGAGGGAGGGGGTTGGATCGGATCGGTGGCATTGGGATGAACGTTCGATAATAGTCGAAACTGGCTGTCAGAGGGATACATATATACCGTGCGTGCGTGGACCATCGAATCAAAAAGCAAGCCACCCATGGACCAAGCCACTCTCAACTAAAGCGAAGGCTTTCTTCGAGGGTCAAAGGTTTCGGAGGTGAAAGGCTAAAGCGCATGGTCACCGAGTGAGATGCAACGTGTAGATCTCTACACGTTCAAAACAAACGGTATAAGGTAGTCGTCTTAACTGCGCTGATTCCGTCTCTTTGAGCACTTTCGAGATGGGAAGCGCCCGGTGGCAACAACGGGCCTCTTGCTTGTGACGCTTGTCCTCGCCATAACGTCTGTGGAAACATGAGGCAGACGAATGCGACCCTAGCAGTAAAGTTCGGTATGGGCGGACATTTGGCTTGCGGTAGCTGTCTCGTTAGTTGGTTTAAGAAGCAAAGTTCAAGGAACGTGCCATCCAGTTGTCCTTCATGCCGCCTAGTGGTGGATAAGAGACCGTGCGCAATGAAAAGCCTGACCAAGCTATATGCTTTGGCTAACAGCGGCGGTCCGAGGGGTACAAGAACGCGGAGCTTGACGAAACAGTGGGACTGCCTGTT